GAATGTGTCTGTATGTGTTTAACATTCAAATGGAATTTCCTGTGTTTCAATTTGTGGTCTGCGCCTCTCATCTGATCACTAGGCACTTCTTTCTGTTCTCCCATCCATTATTTGTACATGTTAATAAGCTTAAGTGTTCTTAGCCCCAGCACTCTCTGTCGCTCCTCATGTGACACTTGTGCCACTCCATCATTTTCGTGGCTGTTTGCTGGGCTAGCTCCAGGACGTCCATGTCTGCCTCATATAAGGGAGCCCAAAACTGGACACTGCTCCAAACGTGTCTCACCAGTGCAACTCCTTTGTTAACATAAAATATGGAGACTTGAGGGAGAGGAACGAGGAAGTGTTTGGTGGTAAAGACATCTTTAAACAAAAGTTTGTGAGGAAAGGCAGAGGGGGCTGGGTTGTGTAGGTGGGCAAGGAGGATGTTAAAGGATAATCTAATAGCAGGCTATGACTACTTGGAAAGTAGTTACAAAGATAATGGAGCCAAACTGTTTTCAGTAATGCCAGGTGATGTAAGAGCTCTGAGCTTGTGAGGTTGGATGCTAGGAAAAGCTCTTTTGCTGGGAGGGYAGAGCAGCATTGGAAGTGGTTTCCGAGAAACATCATGGCATCTCCATCTGTGGAGACTTTCAAAACACCACTCAGCAAAGCCATGTTTACCTTCAGCATGATGTGCTGGTAGTGCTACCAGTTCAAGTGGGACGTTGGATTAGTTAATATACAAAGCTCTCTTCCAACCAGCAAGTCTATGATGGTTGCAGGAGAGGCTCTTTTGGAATGGAGTGGCCATTATGTCTGGGAGAAAGGAAGAAGGAAATGTAGGATGTCTGCTTGGACTGCATTCCTGCCTTCCTGAGCTAAACATGGGAATATCATGAAGAGAAAGTGTGTGCGTGTTATGTATATATATGTTGTACGAATTAGACTGAGAGCAATCTAAGGAGGCTGTTTTTTGGGTTTTTTTTTTTTTAAATTTTCATTCATAGCTATTTTCCTGAGCAGATAACAATTTCCAAAGTATATTTCAGAGTAAAACRAGAAGACTTTCTGAAACAGTAAATAAAGCCTCTCGGCTGCTGTAAAGACTAGCAAACTGCAGGAGGTGGTGAGGTCCTATAGGCTGCAAACAGGCTCACACTCCGAGAAKTGCCTATTGCTGCCCTTGGGAGAGCAGAGGAGCTTGCCCAGAGAGCTGGGGCAGTGTCTGCGTCTCCTGGAGGCAGTAGTGGCTGAGAGCCCTACCGTGCTGCTGAGAGGCCCTGGCAAGACTGGCTGGGCATCGAGGGGAGCAGACAGCAAGGGCTCCGCATGGCTCTGTGCCTGCTGCACAGGATGCCTCGGCATCAGGAAAAGGTCTGGCAGGCCCGTTGGTGGCAGCCCCTGGGCCAGCGAGCAAAAGGGAGAACGTGACGAGGCCTTGTGTGGCTGGGGCCCAGGGGAAGGGGAGAGGAGAAGGCTGCAGGAGGGCTCAGGCAGACAGGCTGCACGGCATGCCCGCAAACATTAGCTCCAGTATCCCTGCACTTCTGCAAGCCAGTCCTGTTGAACTAAGGCTGCTCTCCCTGTATTGCAGTGCTCATCCTCAGGCTGGGTGCTGGAAAAGCACTCGCTGGCAGGTGGGCTGGCTGGCTGCAGGCTCGCTCTCCTGTGTTCCTTCCCTGAGCAGAACAAAATTAAGAGTAGTCCTCTGTCCTGGCATTGTTGATGGCTTTTTTTTTTTTTTTCTTTTTTTTTTTTTTTTTGAGTGGTGGGCTATAACATTTAGCAGCCGGGCCGATGGCTGGAGGGCTGAGCTCCAGGCAGGCGCGAGTTACCTCACGGCTGGAACGTGGCTGTGGAGCTGTGCCCATGCCAAGCGAGGGAGCAGTGAGTGCCCTCCCAGAGGGCTGGAGCACGCTGGGAAGGGGAGCTGAGGCAAATACTGTGGCAGCAGTGTCTTGCTTCTTGCTCTTGTAAGTAGAAAGAGTTTTTTCAGTGTTAGGGAAAACTGGCAATACAGACTATTGGCAAAGTTGCTATGTGAGCCACACACAAGGCTCTTGTAGTTAGTTACCTGKGTAATGCTTGTGCTGGGTACAGGAACAGAGAAACACAAGAGCACTGCTCCTGTCCTATGCGACCCACAGATGACAGAAAATGATGCCCTTGTTCAGTCTTTTTTGTAGGCTCCATATTTGTGGTCTAGAAAAAGTCAGCATTTGCAATGTATGAGCAGTTGTTACCGTTTGAAATAGATACAAACTGTATTTATTCGTGGTTTAGAATTATTTTGAAGAATCTTGCGTAAGACTGAATACTTGGAATCTATTTTAAAGTGATTTAATTTTATGTTTGAGTTGAAAGAAAAACTTCTGAGCAGATCTCCTGATAGCATTCATATGTAAGGTGCCAAATTTGAACGTTTATGATAATCTCCTTGTTTGAAATGTGGCAAGAACTGGGGGAAAAAAAAAAAGAACTTTGCTGCTGAGGTTGCATATGCAAATAGCCTTAGTACACTCCAGGGAGAAAATACACCAGCTTAGTTAATCACTAAAAATGTCTTTTGCGCTGTTTACATTCTATTCTCCAAAGAAGAAGTAGGAGCAACCCCATTATGCATTCACATTACAGCTCTATGTAAGTATAATTTCAAAACCTTTTCAGGTCAAAACTTTTTCTTCTTTTAGAAGGAAGCTAATTAGAATGTAGTTGTGGGGGATGAAAAAGGCTGAGGAATGAAATATGAAAACTTCTGCAGTATTTATTAAGTACAGAAAGAATAAAATTTACTTTTATAATATAAAACCTTTTTAGCCTATCATCACTTAGTACAGCGGAAGCACTGATTAGAGAAGTTCAAGAGCTGTAATATTTTTTTTTTTTTGAACAACAGTAAGTTTATTTTTGCATAAGGGGTCTTRGATGATAGGCATGAGACTGCTTTTAGGCTATTGCTGTGTGCTTAAAATGGGGGAAACTAAAATGTTACACTTAAAACACTTTTTAGCTTTACAAAACATGTAAAATAGAAAAAAATCAGGCGACCTAGAGTTGGACAATCACGGCGTCCTTTATTTTTGTGCATTATAATGGCTCTGTAATCCTAAGGATGAACAGTTTATTTGGTGTACAGTAGGCATTTAAGATTCCTAAATAATGCTGTAAACTCTGAAGGAACTTGCTTACTTGTGGGGTATAGAAAAAGAGGGGTAGGACTGAAKTCCTACAACTCTCTGTTCATGCTGTGTCACTGCTGCGCAACCCAAAACAAGAGCTTAGGACACGCTTTGCTGGGATGCTCAGAAGTAGAGCAGTCGCTGCCGCTATAACACGTTGCCAGCGTACTCGAGCCCTCTCTGGTCTAGTTCTTGCTAACCTAGCACGGCTGTCAGCAGCGAAGCAGCCAGCCAAGGACAGAGGCCGGCACTGGCCTTCACTGCCAGTAACAGCAGCAACTTGGTATCGTAACACAGGCAAGAAATAGGATTTGTATCAGTGATAATAAGGGCATTTAACTTGAGCAGAGACATTCACAGACTTTTTTTTTTTGTCTCAATTTAAAAAGCAAAAGCACTAATTCATCTAAATATTCACAGCCTTTTGAAGCAAAGCAAAAGAAAGAAAAAGGATTATTGTTTCCTTATGATATATATATATGATACATAATCCTTTCCTCCAAAGCTGAGATGGCAAATACCTTCTTGAAAGACATAGATGCAGATTTTCCACAGTTGAGGACCAGACTGCTTTTATTTTTTTCCCCTGAGAACAGACCTAGCACTTTGAACCTGAGTCTTGCTCTGCTCCACTTACTGAAGTGAGGAGGCAGCGAGCAAGGCGGGGGGGTGTGTGTGCGTGTGTGTCAGTCTGAGCCGCTTGGCACCAGAGCTGTTGCCATCCCTCCCAGCCTTTGGAMCAAAAAAAAAAAACTGTGAAAGGAGGGTTAGAAATGTCCCCAAACCTGCTGCACCCCCCAGCACTTGCTTAATCTGTTAAGCAGCGGCTGTGGCAGGGATCCCTTTGCTCCGCTGCTCCCTCCTGGAGCACTGGGATCAGCTTTCTGGCCCTAATCTGCTCTTGGGCAAAGGCCTCAGAGGAGGTAAAGGTCACTGGCTAGCCCTTCASTAAGCCTGCTGTGGGCCCCGTTACTTGTAACTTCTCTTTCCTCTGGATATCATGAATGAGCTTTCACTCTCCTTATTCCAGAGAGACCCGTGTACAGGGCTGCATAACAAAAACCAGCACCTAATAAGCAGCTTGTGTCAGAATTGAAGAACTGTGCTGAGTAGGCTTTTACAAAGACATGGTGGGTTATCAGGGGTTTAATGTTAATACAGAGCTTTAGGACTACTACTCTACCACATATGAACAAATTGTTGTGGAAAGAGGCAGAGAAGAATGTTTAAAATGTTAAAATTGTATTTATTTAAAAAATAACAACAAAAAAACTTGCTGGTTTCCTGGTCACAGAGCAAACCTGAAGATTTGGGTATCAACCTGGACACAAACTTGTCTCCAAACACAAYAGAAAACTTAATCTGCAACCTTTATGTCAAATAAGCAAAGTCTTGCTAATTCAAACCCCTTCTTAATGAACAAAGGCAGAAGGAATTGGTAAAGGCTGTATAAAAATCTGCTGTCTTATATGCTTTTTAAAAGAAGCAATTGATGCTACAACCATGATTTTTATTTTCAGACTCCTTATTGCAACATGTTTCCTGTGAAGGGAACAGTTCTCAGCAGCGTTCCAAGGCTGCCAGACCAGTGTCGTGAGCAGCGCTGGCGCGAGGGGCTTCCCTAGCGCGGCTGCGGCTCTCGCAGGGCATGGCTGGCTGAGCCACAAACAGGTACTTGATGGGTAAGCTACACAAAGAGCATTGTCCCTCTGGCAGGCAGTTCACTGCTGCAGAGCTGAAGCAGCTGTGGTTTAGTTCCCAGGCTGCTTGCTCTGAGCAGTGAAAACAACTTGGCTTTTATGTATTTCTGACAGTGCCTGATGGTTGGAAAAAAAACCCCAGCTCTCACCTGGTCACGACGCAGCTGTCTGCAACTGAGTGTAGAACTCAGAAACAYGTATCAAGAGAAGGGGAGTTCTCAGGTTAAATAGGATGTTCACCAAAAAATAGCATTAGCTCAGGTTGCTAGTTCTTTGTCCTGAGAAGCTGCAGCTTTCCCAGAACGTAGGTGACAGCTGTGAAGTTCAAGCTCTGCTTTAAACTCATTTTTACAGGGATTATTTCAAGCTCCTGGAACCAACTCTGACAGAAAACAAGAACCACCTTAAACATCATTTTCTTTTCCAAATGCCCTTGACTTTGTTTAGCAAACACAGTGTGCATGTAATTATCATGCACGTTAGGGAATTAGAAGAATAATGAGCCAYCTTTGAAACAGTGAGTCCTCTAGCTGGCTGAACCATTGGAGAGTGCTCACATAAGAACTATAATTAATATCAGCATAAATAAATTTATTGTATTAGTGAAGTTAGTATTGCAGAGCAGTTTGCAGTGCTCTGCTAGGGTAATTAAAAGTATAATTAGTTTTGGATAATATAATTTAAATTATGCCTTTATTGGGATACTTTTAAGATCAGCTGCATTTCTTAWATAGAAGTTTTAAAATAACTCCAAGTGGAAAAGAATATTGCCTCTAAACCAAAATTAACATTAAACTTCATCTGAGGAGGAATACTGCAAAAATTTCTACAAGGTCAGTAACTCTTATAATTTCACATTTTGTTAATACACAGTTCAATGCTTCCTTGAGTAGAGCAGGCTTCACCTAGAGTATGCTCTATTATTGCCTCACCTGTAGCAGTGCAATTTTCTGGGGGGATATTTTTAGAGGCAGAGAGGCACTGTAAAGTAATTGTGTTACCTTCTTTAAATTCCTTACCTATAATCTCCAGAGCTATCATTACTTATGCCCAAAGATTTGCTGTCTGCATGTAAACCAGCTCTTCCTAATGAAACTGAGAAAAAGAGTATTTTAAATGTGTGCATATACAAGTTAGGAGTTTTTGCTGGAGTGTGGCTTAGTTACTTTCCAGAACGCCCAGAGTAGTAGCAATAAAAATACAGGGGGAAAAAAAAAGTATTACAGTTTTCACAAGTTTAGGACGTAGGCAGGTAGGCAGGCAAACAAATACAGATATTCAACCTCAACAAAAACAGCTCAATTACTGTATCAGAAAAGTGTAGTGAAGTGACTTCAAGTACAACTTCAGACGATTAAGCTGAAGACCGAACAAATCCAAAGACAATATAAGGCTTTGGTAGATACTGAAGGGAAAACACCTAGAAGCAGAACTTGTCTCATGCTAAGGCTGCTCAGCTGTGGTCCTAAAACTCAGCTGTCTTCTTCCATTTTGTTAAATAAAGATGGCCTGGCCTATCAGTAAGGACATGTCTCCTAAAATAAGATTTGACTTTTTTCTTCAAATTACTGTTTTTATTTTACAACTATATACAAGATCCCAAGAATGTTAAACTTTGCAGCTCACTCTGTCATAGGGCATAGATAATACTCCATTTAGAAAGTGATAATGTGACACTGACCTCCATCAAAAATATAGCATATTTAAAGATTTATTTTTGAAATGTTGTTATACACTATGTTAAGTACAGATCTTTTTAAAAAAATATCAAATTAATGGAACTGTTTAAGTTTTAATGTAATGACAGAATTATAGATATGAAGATAGCTGAGTGTTTTAACAAGTCTTTGTTGTCATGCTGCCATCCAGGTAATGGTGTTTCGGTCTTACTTCTGGCCAAGTTGGGACAACTAAAAAGGAAAAGATTTAAAAAAAAAAAAATTAGGTTGATGATCTTACTCTTTCAGTCTAACTAAGAGCCATTTAATAGAGTAAATATTGCCTGTCCTACAGCATTGGGCTGTTGCTTGCACCCAAAGGCATATGGTAGTCATAGAGAAAATATTTAAGATTACACTCATGGGAATGGATCTGACCTAAAAAAACATAATACTTTCATAAATTTAGATGGTAAAAGTCCAGTACACACAGCCAGTCTCTGAGGTATGAAAAAGTTAATTAAAAAGACTGAAAAGCTGTAAGCTGATGCATACCATTTGCTTAGTCTCTTTCAGGTGCAACAAGAGTGAGTTTAGTGCAGTAAAGTGTAGTTTTGAGTAAGCATGAATTTATTCTCTCGCTAGCAGGAAGCAAAAGCATGGGTGGTGACAGGCACTCAAGGCCTATCAGGTGCTGACCAAATCTGAGTAGTGTATATTTTACATTTGCACTGGAAAAAGGCATGGAAATGTAATGGCAAAAACAACTTCATTAATAGCATTCAAAGAGTGTTTTTAATAGGTATGGACAACTTTGAACTCCCTCTAAGCCAGTTCTTATGAACAGCAATATTTAGGACAAAGGTTTCAAAAACCATATTTGAATATCAGATTTTAATTTTCTGAATTGCTAGAATAATAGCTATTTTTAGAGAGTGCCAAGAACTATGGTTATGGGTTTCTTTGCTTTTTTTTTTTAAGCATGATTTTTGCTAAGGCTATTACCAGCTTATTCACCTGTGGMACAAACTTCTACAGTACAGGCCTGCCAAAGTTAGTAACTGCAACGCCTCCAAGTAAATATAGATCACAGAATATGTTTTAACCTAACAAAAAACAATTTCAAAAATTACCAAAAAAAGAAGATGTAAAGGTAAATTACTCGAAACACAAGTAATAAAAATTAGAGGTGTATTGCTAAAGGTAACCTACCTGCTTTATAAACTGTGCAGCATTGAAGAGTTCACTGCAGCCATACAGCACGTGCTTGCCTTGTTTACCCTAAGAACAGACAAAAGGAGGAAGAAAGCAAATGTTAACGAGAGTAGTCAAAGTGCTAAATGAATTTAAAATTAATTGTGCACCAAAAACAAACATCCCATCTCTGGATGAAGTCCTACATTGTTGGTCTGGGAAAAAAATAAATAACCATTTGTACACCATGGCAAAAAGGAGGAAAAAAAGAAAAAGGGCATTTTACCCCCTTGAGCCCACTGGAATGCTGAACTCTGAGGTAACGACCTTACCGGGCAGGCCSTCCTCTCTGCTGCCTTTCAGAAAAAGCAGCCAGACCCTCTGCCCCTAGACTAGCTGCTGCAAGGACAGTTGGGGGCACGTTTGCTGCTGCTGGTGGTCGAAAGACAAGAACCCTTTGCCTGGGATGCACTCCCTATCCTATCCACAAAGACTGTTAGCCTTTCTGACAGGAAAAGGCTACAGAGCACAGGCGGCCCGAAGCCTTCCCCAGCGCTTGTTCCAGTGCCGCTGGTTGGGGAGGAGCAGGAGGTGCTAAGGGTCCATGGGGGTGAGCGCATGGCAAGTGGGCAGCCAGCACCAAGTCCTGCTTCAAGTCTTCATCTACCCTTAAACCTGAGTGATTTCTGATAATGTGCTATTCTTCTCCTTGTGCAGGGTSCTGAGCTTGGGTCCTCCAACATTCCAGGTCAGCCATGGTGGGGCTGCCTTCTGTTTTCATCCTTACAAGTTTTGATCTAAACTGKTGTTTTGTCAGGTCTCATTTTCGGYGGGATGCCYGAATAGCATTTGTTTCTGCATAGTACCTAATACATTTATAAAAGACAGAAATAATTGTAAAATGGAACTGTTGCCTTCCAAGCAACTAAAATACGTATTCAGGGACACTTGAACTGTGTCATATGTATTTCTCTAAACAGGTCATTTTAAATAAAAACACTTAAAATATTAGTTAGAACATTTAAACAAAGGGAATATAGGTACACAATCATTGGAGACATATTTAAATCCCTTAAYTTCTGAAATAAAATAACCTCAGTCCTTTTCAAAAGTCCAATATGTTTTTTATGGAAATATTATGTTGGATCTGAATTTCTTGTGTTGTCTAGCACAGGTAAAGTCTGACTTACTGCCTGTTTTGGCAAAAATAAAAACTGATGCATAGTAGTAAATTGTGAAAGACAAAATAAGGCAGAATTCTTTTTATTGGCTCAATTCAAAACAGGAGCAACATGAGCAAAAGTTAAAACCTTTCATTCCCTATTGATGTTCTCTCATCTATTTTTTCCTGCTTATGCATACAGTAAATTTAATAAAAGCATGAAATATATTACAAAAAGTCTGATGAAATCGACTGCTATCAGTGTTATACCACACAGCTTTTATGAATGTACGCACCTTTATGTAGTCAACAAGATTTTGATATTCAATATAGTTGCCTCCTCCAACTACAAATACTATTGCCTAAAATGTAACACACAGATAGTCAGAATATGCAACCAAATYTTAACATTTCAGCCTACAATATATACCAAATCATTAAACAGAGAGCATCAGTCATCCTCATCAACCACACTTCTTTCTAAGAACCGTCAGAAACAGTACTGGCTTCCTACCTGCAATACGGCAGTCAAAAAATTTTACAGGTAAGCAGAGGCCTTTTAACATTTCTTCTTCTACTTCAAAATTTTGATTTTTTTTTTCCAGTTTCAAGACACCACTTTTTCATGTGGAGATGTCTCCAGTGTCCCCAACAACAGTTAGAAATATTTCTGTGGTCCTTTAAGAATTATTATGGGGAACCAGTAAAACACTTTTGCAATTGTTTAAATTTCATGTGGGCTTTGTTACTACTGCCAGAGCTGCTATGACTTCTATTAGTCATATATGGTGCCTTATGGTATAGACTTCTTTGAGAAGCTACCAGATGGTTACAATTCCAAATGGTTATATTAAAAATGATGAAAGTTACTGCCATAAAATTTGTACTAAATAGGAAGAGAGAAAACTTTTTTTTTTCTTCCCTTGAATTAGAGGAACTGTCTGAAGCACAATCACTTATTTATCAGTGATTGACTGTGTAAGGACATAAATATGATGAAAAGCCTTATAAAAGCTTACTGTAACAATGAGAGTTTTAAATTTCTGAGTACCAATTACAGTATTATTAAATTCCTGTAATTGCCTCCAGAAGCATTTTCTATTTTTTTTTGCCTCGGATTAGTTAATGCTTTCACAGTCCTTTGAAGATGAAAAGATTACTTCAGAGCAAGTGCTAAGTACAACTAATGTTAGATGTAATTAGACTAAGTGGTTTTTGCAAACAGAAACTTTTAATTTTCTTCATCATCATTAAAAATGACTGTTGCTTTACAAAAAAAATTAAATGCATGAACACTTAAAAATAATTTCTACATGACTTACCTCCTGGAATGGATTTTTGTTTCTTGGAACTGAACTGTAAAAAAATATAAATTACATTTTAACTTGAAAGTTATTTGACACACATATAAATACACAAAATAAATTACCATATATACACCATATTTATGGAATGCTGTATATTTAAAATACATAATTGCCTTTCTGCTAATGTAATATGTGTTTAATCTTAAGTTAATTATTTATTATGCAAAATCATTCATTCTACAGGACAGATACCTGTGGAAAKAGGAGTTCTACCTGTTTATTTTTAAAGCTGTCTTTTGCAGGGTGAGCGCTCTCCTGGAGCTCGGGCCTAGGCGCAGCGGAGGAGCCGCACGCACCAGGAGGCAGCCTGGGGCCTCCCCTGGCTCCAGCGGCCAGCAGACCCTCTGCTCTATTTAAAACTAATAAGCAGAAAAATAGGAGGAGTAGGGGTTAGAACAAAATGATTCCTCCTAAGGAATACTTTTTAACATCTTTTTTATTAGTTATTCTATCAAATACTGGCATTTTAAACTAGTAATATTTTGTCAAGCCAGATAACCTTCCTTACTTAAAAATCTTTAAATACTTGAGGTACCATCTAGATGGGAGAATTACACAAATGTCTCTCATGGTTATAATAGAGTTTGGTTATAGTAGAGTTATGCTCAAATTTAATTTAAGGCAATTTGAAATCTTTAAGCATGCAATGGATCATATCTATTAAAGTGGTATTGCTAGGGGCCGTGACAAATCTGGACACAGGAACAAGACCCACCAACACACAGCCCTCCAAGCACCCCTTCTCTATGAAAAAACTAAATACCTCTGAGGTGCAGATTTGTTTTATTGTTTAGTGCCTGGTTTAATGAACATTATACATTTATATAAAAATGTATAATATTTATGTAGCTACATATTCAAGCTGCACGGGATGCACTAATAATAGTAGTAACCGCGAAAGCAAAGAAAGTCAACGACTTGTGCATTAGATGTCTTAAAAGCTGASGCTGGACACTTGATTTTGATAAAGCACTGGTGCCTACCAATCTACTCTGTTTAAAACACAACTACTGAATGAAAAAAGACACTTATTTCTTATCCCACCTGTRTAATAGATATGTCAGATATAATTCTAATGAGGCAACTTTTGGCAGGGAAGCCTCCATGAATGTGTTGCACCTATATTTTAACTTTACACAATGAAGTTTAAATAAAAATTGCAGTGTACAGCATTAGCTTAAATATACTATTACTATGTTTATATTCCCAGCATTTTCTCTAGACATAAATTTCCAACACATAATGTCTGCAACCTGCTACTATGAAGTCCTGAACAGCTACTATGAAAACCAGGAAAATTAATTTCTGCACTTGTAGTATAGGGGCCCTCCAGTCAATAAAGCTTAAAACAAGGTATAGGCATATAACTTGAGTCCATTTAAAAAATGAGCCTCAAACCAAAATTTCAAATCTCTTCCTGTAGTAATCATTGCAGTCACACAGATTTATGAATTGCTGTAGATGTGTATCATTAAATTCTTCAAACCCAGAGAAACAGCACATATTCTGGGTAAGAACCCTCCTTTATGTAAGAAAAATTTACAGATGAACAAAGCAGATTTCTCAGACAAAATACTCTAAAATGCTAGAAGAGGAAACTGAAACAGCAAAAGATGCAATTAAACTAYATACCATCACCTTTTTCCTTAATGCTTTCAAAATTGGCTTCATTTTTGAAATTATAAAAGCTGCAGTATTTCTTTTACATCATACATTCTATGGAACTTATTTTTCATTACCACTTTTTCTATTGCAAATATGCAATATGCAAATATTTCAACTATTAGTTCAATAATAAACTTACTTATACAATTAAATGGACTGATTATTCTCCTGCAGCTTGATGGAAATTCTTACCACAGTGTCATCCTTTCTAGGATGGGAGATGAGCCCAGCCGTATTAGTCACAGAAGCAAAAATTTATAAACTTACTTTCCTCTCTTTTTCATGGCAATATAAATTATAAACCTTTCATACGTACATGAATATAAAATATGTATCTGTCTATACAAGAGCAAAAATACTCTTTAATTATTGTTAGCAAAGTYAATAACAACTTTTAAAACATATTCAAATTAAAATTTCAAATGCAAAGTGATAGAACAGATTTGATATACTATCAAATGGCTTCAGTTTAATAAATGCACAAAGTTTTTTTTTTTGTAAAAAGGTATTATTGTAACAATGTCAAATACTTAATGTTGCTAAATGTTAGTACCCATTTCTGTTTCCACAGATGTAGATTTTAGCATTTTAACAATAGTTTTTGAGTAATACTACAAAACTATATATGGTCAATCCAGATTCTAACTAAATTTGCTCAACAGTCTTGACTTAGAATTAATAATTAAATACCTTGGGCAGTCAGTACATAAAATAGAAATGATTTTCTTTCTTRTATTATCCACTCCAGGTAGCAGAAGAAAGCAAAACTTAAACTCACCTGTCACTACCTCGGAGCATCTTGGGGTCAAAATACCTGTAGTCATCTGTCTCCTGTTAAAAAACATGCTTTTAATCGTAAAGATCTTAATTCAGTTTACAAATACTTGCTTATATAGTAAACATAATTCAGGTCAATGCAGCTCTTTCATTTAGACGTTATATCACACAGAGTTAGTTGTGATGTCCACATATATTTATAATGCTTATATGTAACTGTGCCAGCGCAGAACAAACAGTGGTTCTCCCACAAATGTTAGAGCCACAAAGGGTACTATCGAAGTGACTCTTTATTTCTGGTTCATCTAAAATCCCCTGTAATAAATTTTCAAAAAAATATATTGGTTGCATAATAAATCCCAGCAGAAAGGCAGCAGACAGAGAAAAATAAAGAGAGAAGAAACCTCCTATGTGTCACTTGCTTTAGAGCAATATCATGTGGCGAGTTTATGAATTTTAAAATTTTCCAGGTTATAGCAATCKCTTGGTGATTGAATATTATAAACCAAAATACTTTTACAGAAATGAAAGCTAAGTGAAGCATAGATGAAAATCTGCTACCATTCTGAAGCTTACGCTTTTCATTTCATGATTTATGACTATTATTAAAACAAAATTACATTTGTGAAGAAGCAAGTTCTACAAGAACTGTCTAAATTACACAAAAATTCTTTTCTTCATGCAAAACTTTGAGATGCATCCAATATTTTTACTGGCAACAAGCAAGAGTTTTGCCAGTTATTATAGATGAAAAACAAAGTGTCTTAGAAATTGCTCTTGACAGCTACTTGGCTTCCCTCTTTCTATACTACATTTTCAGCCAGGTACTGTGCAGTTTAGTTTACAGATAAATTGCATGCAGGAGTTGAGCTGATTTCATTTGTGGGCTACATGTGGGTCCTCCGTGTTTTGATGGTGCCATATCACAGAAATAATTCTTCTTCTTGATTCTTGATTTACAGGAGATTTCAAAAAAAATTACAGGATGTTATTTTTATCAGTAAGAATTGTTCTTTCTGTTCCTGCTTATGAAAAACGTTTAAACCACAACTGTGCACTTATTTGGCCTCCCAATGGTTGTTCCTGCTGTTTGTTTTGTCTGAAGGACAAGTCCTTGAGTAACACACAGAATCATTTAAAGACAACTGGTATTAGTTATGCACTGCATACTATGCTGGATAATTTAAATTTTTTAACTGACAGTAATAGCTGTGAACAGCTGTGGCACAAAGTTTTGCCTTTAGGATATTGCCTAATGCTAAATATAAAAAGTAATTATAATTTAAATTATTTACATGCAATTARCATATTTAATTTTGCATAAAAGTGTAATTTTGTAAAAAAGTGTCCTCTGTAGGTACGTTTCATATACTGACCACTGTGGAGAGCTAGCAAGATTCAGTGAGTTAAAGACATTTTCTTCTCTAACTCCCTCTGCCAGCAGGGCTGTGGCCAGTCCATTCTGAGGATGGAAAGGACCTCACACATCACAGAAGAGAAGCAACCACGAGGGTATAAATGTGCACACTGTCCTCCTGTTGATCCAACAGCAAGTGTAAACGTAGCGCAGTGACAACTCTCTGCCTTCCCTCTCCCAGCTGAAAGGGAAAAACTAAGAGAAAGGTTCTTTAGGGCTTCCTGGCTCTCCTTAGGCTTGCTGAATAGGACATCCCTTTGTGCATCTTGAATTCTAGCATCTGACATGACAGCAGGCTGAAGGGCCACCTCAATCTCTGTTTTTTTCATGCAAGACTGATGTTTTCTCCAAATTATCAATCTAGTCTACTGAGTACAATTTGACAGTATCAAGTCAAGAAAAATAGAGTTTGTGACTTACAAACTTTTCCAGACCAATTCCTAAACTTAAAGACTGAGGAAGTTAGTGTTTATCAGATTTTTTTTTCCAGTTTTCACCTACTTGCATCTACTACCAGTAGTTTTTAATTTCCAGTTTTCTGTATTAGGCATTCTGAGTGACCTCTACTGGATGACTACAAAATTGGCTAAAAGGTCTTTTCAAGCTTGTTGGCATTTTTCTTTCATCTACCTTTTTTCACAGGTGGATTTGCTAGAATGCTGGAGTAGGACAGCAGGCAAAGGGGAGCAGAGCTCCAGGGACCAGCGCTGTGCTGCACAAGGTGTCTTTTCCAAATGTCACATTTGCTCATGCTTGTAACAACCCCACTTAGGCCTGAAAACATAAAGTTCTTGGTTCTTTAACCAAAAGCAAATGTTTTGCTTAAAAGCCATTACATATGTTATCTATAGAGCTTAAGAAAAGCCAGAACCACCTCCATATGGATTACTTTTTTGTTTTACAATTACTTATCTCCCTATGAGACATGATTAATTCCTACTGCCTTTCTATCATAACCAGTGCAGTAAAGAGTAAAACCTATCATTAAACTTGCTGGATTTGGTAGCTGAGGAAAGGACATGCACCTGACCAGGGAAGCACCAACTAACCATGCAGAGATGGATCAGTGGATACAAAGGGCCCAGTGTGAACACCCAGAAAGTGTAAGACACAGTTAAGCTACGGGCTGAAAATTCAGTATTGCCAAATCCACGTATCCTTTGTACTTCTTTAAAAACCACAGGTAAGTAAAATAGTGTGAAAACTTGTTTTTGTAGTGCCAAGAATGTTGCTCAAACGATGAGGTCAGAGCAATTTCCCCTTTTCCTTACATCTTCCTAGGTATAGGGCTGAATCACTGTGAGATGATACAGGTGTATCTCTAGGTGTTTCTAATGCAACTAAAACAGCAAGACCAATGAAATGCAGCAGGCATGGGAACACTTTTTAAGTAACTTTCCAAAAGGGATGTTTCAGAACAAGGACAGGTACAGCATGGTCATATGTAAGAGTGCTGAAAGAACTCCGTGCATATAGTGAGAATAAAGCAGCCTTCACCATACACTGTGCAGACAGGATTTGGGGCTWTTTTTTTTGTTGTTGTTGTTGTTTTAAATTTTGGCAAATCTTTTGACCATGCATCTAAAATCTAAGCTTTTCAAAAGTTTATAACTTAGACAAATCTGAGTAATTATGACTTGCAAACTGAAAGGCTAATAAAACTATTTTCTCATAAATAGCTTTAAAGATGTGGAAAGTCCAATTTTATGCAATATACTTAATAACTGCTAGAAATCTGAAATCACATGGGCAAAAAAAAGTTACCTGGTGAAAAAGAGAATTTCAGGCCACAGAATAACTTAAAATCAACAGGAAGTGGACGCATGACACTACAAGAATATTAGACGCCAAGAATTCAGAAACTGCTTCCACTCTCACTTCTCTTAACAGAAATATAGTAATACAGTGATAGACAGATCAGTAATTTGTCATCTATAAATAAATTACTRTTATAAGTAAACCATCTTTATGGTAAAAATTCTCATGCAATAGCTASAAAAAATGGCTCCATCACTGAGACACAGCATTGTTATATTTAAGTGCTCTATCAAGAGCAAAGAATTGTCATGACTTTTACATACCACAGCTTCAAGATTTCATACTCACTGGGTTTGACTTCATTTCCATAAGGTTGTCCAGTATGCGCGTGACTGGTAGATTCTGTGGAACAGAACAGGAGACTGATGGTAGCCTGAAGGGTTTGCCAAACACAGGCACACTCCGATGTGCACCATTCACCACATTTGAGCCATTTGTCAACAGAGCATTTGAAGGCTCTTTAAACTGTTTTGCTCTCTTGTTTTGAAGAGGTTGAACAGTTTCAGTCAATATCCAAATCACTTGCTCTACAAAAGAATGACTGTGTTTTCTCCAGTCTACTTATCATATAATAAAGCTACTTTACAAAAATGACTGAACCAAAATAAAGTCTCTGCTATGAAGCACAGTATTTTCCTTAGYAGTCCACAACTAACATGACTCTCCTCAATTCTCTTTAAACAAGTAACCCATCCAGGCTGGAAGACTTCTAAAGCTGGTACCAGCTTGCCCATTAGTCACCGTCAGTCCCATTTTAGGAAAGCTTTAAATTCTTATTGTGTCAACAAAATTGGGCAAGAGATTTTGACAAGAGGCCCAGTGCTCTAATAATTACAGTTGTTAACTAACCACACCATTAAGAGCAATATTTATTAACAGTCCTTTAACCTTGAATTCCACAGCTTCAAGTTTCACGTGCACAGAGAAATAACAAGCAACTGTAGGTAATGCAGATACCATAAATGGTCAATGTTTCATGTAATGTACACTGCTATTAGGGTTTTTTTTTTTTTTTTCTGTAGGCCAAACTACTTGAATTTCAGGAAGTGTTCTAAATGTTGAATGTCAGGAAGGAACCAAGTGAAGAAGCTCTTRTCCCCATAAATTAATGAAGCTCTGCTCTAACGCCTTGCAGAAATATGAGTCCAGACCAGGAAACTCAACTGAGCAACTGCACCTACCTGGAATCACCTAAGAAAGGATTTAACCTACTGGACTGCAAAATCATATACTTGAACTGCGTATGCAAGTACCGTTGTATACACACACACGCGTATATAAAATAATATATATATAATATGCAAGTAACGTATACATAATATATAAAATATACAATACATATACACACACATAACGCTTTGCTTGGCAAAGCTTTTTTTTCAATAACAATACAGTATGTCAGAATCTAAGAGAATTGACTTTTTTTTTAATCCAGTTGCACTTTTTATAATACAGTATTCACTGTACTAGTGCTCAGCATTTTTATTCTAGTAAGTAGAAAGCAATTCTCCCTCCCTAGTTATGAGGTAAACGTCTAATCCCTTGGAGAGGGTCTGCGACACCCAGGCTGGTGCTACCAAGCTGGGGGCYGCCAGCCCCAGCATGTGGCACTAGACCAGCAAAACAGGTTTCCTGGAGTACAGGGGCTTGCTCCTTAGAAGCGAGTCCAGTGTAACATTTACGAAGTTATGGGTGCAATTATTAGCAATAATCCTAGTGCAAAGCTAGCATAGAAAAAAAACAAGAAGCATTCATTTCAAGTTTGGAGTGTACAACTGAAAGGGCTGTATCATTAAAAAACAAACACRAACAAACCCACACAGGCGCAGACCAAACGCAGTTTTTCTTCCGTCAATACAAAAGCATTTGGTTCCAGAGCGGTCTCTTGAATGGCAGGGCACGTAACCCATGTGCGTGACCCTGTGCTGCGGAGCTGCCCTCTCCTCAGGGCTCTCCTCGAAGCCAATAAACGGGCCAATAAACCCGTGCAACCCRGAGCGGCTCCCGGAGCGGCTCCCGGAGCGGCTTCGCACAGGCTCTCAGGGCCCCGCTGCACGGGCGCCGGCTCAGGCGGCCACGGCACCAGCTCCCGCCTCCTGCTTCTCCCCACAGACAAGCTGCTCCGGCCTCAAGCCCCAGTGCGGGGCCCGACTCTGCATTAGCAGAAGCCAGGATTCAGACMGAAAGAATTCCTACTGCAGAGGTGCACACAGAGCTCCGCTGTCCTGCYCCACAGCGGAGCCCTCGCCTGTAGGCCCCCCAGTCACTGTCCAGTTCCCGGTCAGGCTCACACTGGCCTGCGTCCGCCCAGAGCAACCTCCAGCCTGTCACCCAGGTTTTACATTTCTGCCTCAAAGCAGCCACAGCCTCCATGACCGCTTGTATAAAGCGGCTTGCTCTTACAGGGGATTTTTAGCCATCTACATCCAAAACCAAAGAAAATGAACATCCTGCTGAATTTTTAAAGTGAAGCCTGGATCTACTCAGATGCCTGTTCTACAACTAAATGGTAGCATTAAAAGCCATATGTGGTCTCCAAACATGCTGAAAGAATCCAAAATGTAACCAGGTATGCAAAAAGGCTCACAACTCRCAAGCTAAACACACAGGAAACAGCTCTGTTGCAAGAGGCAGTCGTTCCCTAGACTTGCCGATGGAGTTAGCACAGAGAAAGAAAAAGATTCAAGGTAGGACACCATCCTAGCACTTGGAAGCGACACAGTGGAAAAAAGAAAACAACCTTTAATACAAGAATTGCAAGTCTCATTAGTAGGTAATTCTTACCAACTAATAACCAGTTTATCTGAAGCTCTATATAAAAAGGCAWGCTTCAAATTGAAAACAGTTTTCTCAACTGTATTTCATGACATTGCACTGCTTTGAAATTCCTACAGAATTATTTCATTGACTACCTTAAAAAAACTATAGAAACCAATTTTAACACCCTCATGTGATAACTGAAACTTTTCACACATCAATTATGTATAAAAATGATTAAAGAAACACCATCTATTTATGTCAAGCAGATGTATGATTTAACTTGAGTTGAAATTTCATTTTGTTAAATACCTACATTACACAACCAAAGGCATTTACGTTATGCTTTATTTCTAAATTTCTGTGCTTCCACTGAGAGTAATAATATGACTAAGAATCTTTTTTCTTAGAAAAAAAGAAAATTATTTCAGGAATTAAAATTCGTAACAATCAATATTCAGTAAATATTAAGTTACTGTCACCTGACAGACTGCAGTTATTCTTAATCAGTCTTAAGGGATCTAATTCCTTACAAATGGAAGGACTCAAAGACAATTTCATTTTTATTCTCTACTTGACTAAAAGCTGGAAGCTACAAAGTGACAAATCTATCTGCCAGCAGGTTTTTTAAATGCACAACAAATTTCATTACAATTTGACTGAGGTAACGAGTCATTTTTCTACGTGTTCACAATGCTCAATCGATAGTCTAAAATAGTCTTTGAACTTACCTGTTGTTTCAGTACCAAGTTCTTCACTCCTTCCATCACAAACTGTGATCCTGTGTTCATAACACGTGAAAACAGACTGAAAAAAGAAAAAAATAATGTGCAAATTAAATGCTCACAGTATCCTATTTTTTTTTTAATTCATTAAGAACAATTTTGGAGCAGAGTACAACTTCCAAGGGATTTCACATACCATTTTTAAACTGACTGACACTAAAAAAACCAATGTTTTAACATCAAAAAAGAGGCCTTTCAATCCCTGTAATTAAAGTTTGTATCTTTTTTTTTCCCAAAAATCTATCATCTTTGCAGGAAAACAAACAAACAAACCCACACACAACAAAGCTATCAGGAAGCTGTTTTATTATTCTAAATTTTCAAATTCCTAAGTGTGCTGCCATAAAGCCTCCTTGTGCCAGGGCTTTTTTGAAAGATGAGGAATCATGATTCAAATTCTTTCAAGAACAGAGCGACTCGAGTCCTGCACCCAGTGTTCTAGATGGGGAATGGGAACCCACAGCCTATTAGCAGTCATGGACTCTCTGGTCCTGTCTTGCAATGAGGAACTCTTTCTGTATGATGCCAGACACCAAACCCCAGAGATCCTAAGGGAAAAACGGCATTCCTACATCCCAGCCTCTCTCTCCCAGCCCTAGAGGGAGTTAGTTTTAGACACATAGGCATGTTCTCCATTTCTGCCATCAGGCTCAGCACAGTGGCTGCCCTAGATCCATCTTTTGGTCATAAACTCTCCTCTGGGAGTCTGAACATTTCTCATGCAGGCATAGATATCTCTGCACTAAGTTATGTCCTAGATTTAGCCACAGACCCTCTGTTTTCCTGAGAGAAAGTCCTGTGAACTGTTAATGGGCTATGAAAGTGATTTGTGCTTGTAATTTTGTCTTTAAACTTCTTAGAGATGGAAAAATGTTTTATTCCTGGTCTTGTACAGCACTGATCACAGTTTGAGTACTTCTAAAATAAGGTAACAGAATCCAAAAGCTTAGAGAAAATGAACGAAAAACATACCCCAGCGGTTTAGGTGTAGTGTTTCCATAGCTGGTGGGAGCCGAGGCCATCTTAGTGAAAGCCCTGTGAAAGCAGGGGGAGAAATGAAATCCTTCACCTCATGACACATCCTGATGCAGAAGCCGCCACTCTGGTCATTTGAAAGTAAAAACATTTCTGCTTCTCAAACTTGCTCAGGAAGTAACTATTTACTACACGCATCACTCTCATCTAGGGACACAATGGGTAAGAAAGTGAAACGGAATAGATGTACAGACTTAACTTCTATAATACATAAAACTCAAATAACTGATAGGAATCGTAGCCCTTTTGGTGCAACCCCCAAACGGTGGTGTCTGAACTAACCCAACTGTTCACCRAGTCGCCTTCAGCATGGTGCTGGTGCCTTGGATCATTAAGTGCCCTGCTTTGCGTCGTGCTCAATAGAGTTCTGGCACCACGAGAGTTTAGTTTTAAAATAAGCCTTGCATGTATTAGCAAAACTGTAGCAATAACATGTTAGCCAGCCWATGTGTCTAGCCAGAATGGGTATCCAAGGAGAGTTTCCAAGGTATCAGAAGTAATGCGTTAATTCTTTGATATAAGTGCTCAGTTCTATAAAACTGCCTAATTATACCCCCAATGGTAAGAACCAAAAGGCACTCACTTCCACTGCTTTATGTAGCTCAGAGGAGCAAGATTACACCCGGCATCCAGCAACGCCTTTTTATACTGCTCCAGGTCAACCTGAAACGACAAAGCGGAGAATTGCAGCTGGTGCAGGGCGCTCTAAGCTCTCTCTACGCGCAGAGACTGACATCCTTAACTAAGTAATAACGCTCCAAGATGCAACTTAAAATGCAATTCGCCCAGAGCAGCTCTCAGGAATTCTAGCAGTAGTTGTGGAATTAAATAATGATTAAATAAATAATAAAATGACGAACAGTTAGAATACACTTACAGATAATGTAAATACAATAAGTAATAGATTTAAAAGGAATACTTTGTCTTTGCCTAAACTAGCGTATTTTTTCTACCAATTTGAGTTAATGTAACAGTCATGATAAAATGATTCCATGTTGTCTATATTCATTCTGTACTATATAACATTTCAACTGTGTAGTGTAATGAAAAAGCTTGGAATACAGCTTCATAAGCTCAAGAGAAATAATAAGAAAGTTCTTTTGAAATTATTCATATATGTGAAGAAGCATTTCCTTTATGTATCTACGAATCACCACTTTTTTGAATGCACAAGTGAGAAGAATCATATTAACATTTTGTTGAACTTACTCTTCTCTACTGCTCTATAAACGCAATAGAAAGCAGAGCAAGATGTGCCTTTGCATAACTCTGAACTAAATATTCCAAAGGTGAGAGTTTTTAAAAGACTTCAGTGACTTCTTCATTCTCAGTAGCCATTCATATCCTTCAAAAGCACACCCAAAGCTTTGAGAGCAGACAGATTCCCTGCTAGTACTACAACGTATGYTTAAGGTTTTCATGTTACCTTGGCATTCTCTTCCTTAAAGAGAAGCCAGAACATTCCCTGACAATGCAGAAAAGCCCTGCCGGGCAGGGGCTGGCATTGCAAGCCGGAGGGAACGTACCTCGGAAGGAGCCTGCGCTGAGCTGATGTAATAGATAAGAAACAATCTCATTTTGTCTTCTGGAGTTCCTGCTGCAGGGAACACAAGAGAGAAAAAACTCTAGAACTGTAACAGTGCAACTATGTGAATTGTTTTTTCAGTTATATATATATATATACACACACACACACACATTCAGACTTTTAGTTATGATGATAATTATTATACATATAAAAAGTCTATGGACTTGTTCAGAATATAAAATGGTAAAAAGACATTCAACAACTTTATTGAAAAATTGTTTGGATTGGATCATTGTTCTTGGCAATGTTATTGACACTTTCCTGTTTTGCCTAGAGCACCACTTCTTTCAAGTAACACACAAAATAACACATTTCCTAAGGGCACTATGTGGCACTATGTGCCCTTAGGAAATATTCCTAAGGGCTATGGCACTAAGGCCACAGCACATCTTCCTCTACAGTCCATTTCCACAGCTCTGTGGTTGCTCATACTGAAGGCTGCAAACGCTGCAAAAGCACTTAGGTGACGCCTCGGTCAGAAGAGAACAGCTTAAATCTCCAGGAATTTAAGAACTTCCGTCTTCAGGAAGTATTTTCTCCCTGAATCACTTATTGTCACACCACTCCTGAGGAATTTTTAGGAACAATTATCAGTGGGAATTAAAACTAATCTTTGCCACATCAAAACACTCAGACGAGTATTCATGTGTCAGTTAGGTGATAAACAACTGTATCAAATTTTGATCAGCGTTTACCACTTTCTAGAAGACCAAAATCACTGTTAGCAAAGCGCAAGGCTTAAAAATACTAATTCAGAAACTAAACTTTGTGAAACAAACTAAAAAAATTGCACTGTACTACTTCATTAAAAAGCCTGATACCTGTACATATGATACAGCAAGAAAGAGGCGCTTTTTTACACTTGTGGGGTAGGAAGGAGTTAACCTTTTATTTGTTCTCCACTAGAGAAGGCAGCAACCATGTTGTCAGTAGGGGTCATCTAAATTAAAATGCATCATTGTTTATAAAGCAGCATATATTTAGTTTGGCAGAAGTTAAGTAGTCCATTCCTTAGTCCATCCACTGCTGCAGTGAACATTAATGAGTTGGTATAATATTTGCGGAAATTAAATGTTATTAATCTTTAACAAATACTAGTATATCAGAAGAATAAGAACCAAAGAAAATTTYTATTACCAGAAGCAAAAGCTGCTTTCAAGGTGGATATCCCCTTGGAGTCCACTCGGACAAAAAAAGCATCTCCGATGTTTTAAATACAGCCTACCTGCCCAAACTTGGCTTCCCCTGAGCCAATTTATATCTTCAGCACTTTGCTGACCACTAGGTTTCAGTTTCCACTGCAAGTGGTTGGCACCAGGCAGCCTTTCCTCGAGCAAGCAGATTTCCTGCCCCTACCCATCTCCTGGGAGGTTTGGGCTCACAGGATGGTAAGCAGCCTCAAACAGGAACGTAACTGGCATTTCGTCTTACCAAAAAATAATAAATTGGAAAAAATTATATCTGTGATTATAGCTGTACCTCAACTAAATTAGCGAGCCACTGTGCTGGGCAGGAGCACGTTGGCCCGCGCTGCCCAGCGGTGCCCAGCAYGGTCGTGGGGAAGGGCAAGCGGCGGCGCGGGGCCGCTGGGCTCTCCGGGGCAGGCCGGGCACGGCGGGACCGCAAAGGGCAGCGGGAGCAGCGCGGGCGCCGCGCGCAGCCCGCCGGGCAGCTGCACTGGGCCCCAGCCCTGCCGGGAGGCAGCCCAGGGGRCGTTAGCTACAAGGCAGCGAGAAAGGAGGACGTGGGAGAGCGGGGTGGTCAACAGGCTGCTGTGAAGAACTGCAGAGATCGCCGTCCTTGAGACGAGTACCCCACAGACAACACAAACAAACAGCTCCCCACTGAATGTGCTGGAACACTGCATGTATTATTCCTTCAGAATAAATGTTTTCTGTTGGTACCTCACAATGAATCACTCAATAGGAAGCCAGCCATTTGTACAAGACAGCATGGCCTTAAATAACCTCGGGGCTGTCACGTAAAGCCTTGTGTTACATAAACTGATCTTCATTCTAAGGAAAGCCATCCAAAATGGCAGAGGAAATAGGGGTTCAAGAAAGTAACTGATCCAGCAGGAAATACTAGAGAGCACAATCGCCTGCACTTTCATATACAAGCACCAGCCATTTGTGCAAATAAAAGACAAAATAGCACTTGAACGTTAATTCTAAACATGAAATAGGAATTGTTTGCACTGATGCTAAGCAAAGTGGAGCTTCTTAACTAATATTACACATTCATACCAATTTTAACAACAGGGATCTGTATTGGATTACTATGCCTGACTACAGATTTTCTACAGGTCCAGACTGGATCTGATCCATGTAAAACTTGAGCTAGAACTTCCATCAATCATGTATTATTTTTTTACTGCCTTTGACCCTGTAGGCAAAATAGTAAAAGATTTCAAAGATGCATCGTGGCATTTCTACACCATTTGTGCAACACCGTTTGTGCAACGGGAACCACTGTGGAAACTCCAGACGTTTGCTAGGTCTAGCACAAGCGACAGGGCTTCACCCGCAGGCACGCACTACCATCGGCGGCGGTGCAGACCCGGCCACACAAGGTGCCTGGTGCRGCCTCAGTAACTCGCATTTTGCTTCCCTTCTTTCCGTCTCCCTCCATCCTGGCCCTCACAGAAGCGAAGCTGCCTGCATGTATCCTGAGATGCATGCGTCCATTTTCACACTATAATTTATATGATATGATTTATAAAAATATAAAATCCTAACAGAACAGTACTTGGGATGACAGTTTCATGCTATACCAGTAAGCAGAGGAAAAGCACAGAGTTTCAATATTAATCCTTTCCTAGATCATGATCTCTGAAGGTCTTTGAGCTGCACAACATTTCYAATAATTTTCAGATGCTACTTGACTTAAATAGTAAACTCTTTGGACTGCTAGTAAAATTAGTGAATTAAAAAAAAGTTTTTCTTTGTAAGTCTAGCACAGCTTACAACAAACATACACCATTTACTTTTCAAACGTAAAGTCATAGCAGGTATAGCTCTAGTACATCTTCTTAAAGTTTACATCAAGTTCAGATTTAAAGTACTTACCATCTGGGTCTGAAATCATGTCCAGCAGGGATTTATCCAGAGTGGATTTGCTCATTATTTTTTCCTCATATTCAAAATACACATCCAGCTTCCGAGTCTGTTTAAGAGAGAGTATTAGAATTAACATCTTTTTTATTGTGAAAGAGAATTTAGAGACTCTTTAAGAAGATATCCAAGCTTTACTGATCAAGACTACTTTTAATATCTTTAAATGTAAATTAACAGAAAAAAAAAGGCTTTCACCATAATAAGAACTTACTCTTGGAAAATTGRTGTATAAGCAACTTGCGTATGAAGAGTAAGATCTCCAGCTAGGCAAGGGAAGGCCAGTGTGGAAAGCAGAGCTGAGGAGAGCCGCYCGCCGCGGCAGCACGGCGAGACACTGCGGTGCTGCCGCGCACACCCAGCTCATTCGCGCCGAGCCTCAGGGCTCAAGGCAGTCGGTCAGTGCTCATAAACGCTGGAAACTCCTAAATACACTCCGGCATCATCCCGGAGAGAAACTGGCAGCCTTCCCTTTGGATCCAAGGGGCTCACACCARAACAACTGCTTCAGATTGACGTCTTGCAATAATTCACTCACGTCAAGGAGGGCAGCGTTCAGAATAAGGTTATCTGACTAATTTGGGAACAGAGATCTCCTCCTGTATAGCACCATATTTACGGAGCAGGCACGAGGGCCRTGCTGCACAGGTTCCTTCTGAAGTGGAGGGGGAGGAGGATGGTCACCCRTGGCTTGGGAGCAGCGAGGCTGAAAGGCGCAACGCGACGGGCGGCACCGCGGGCACCTGCGCAGGGAGCCAACCCCGCGCCTGCCAACCACCCTCGCCCGGCCCTTCTGCCTGGCCASACAGAAGGGCGCTTCACAAAGATCAATGAGGAAGGCAACTTCCAGCACCGATAATTCTGAACACCGGAATGGAGCAGCCCAGCGAGGGCTCCAGGGGCTCGGGATACAAAGCACCTCCCTGCATCCCTGTGCGTGGGTCTGGCCTGACCCTCGGCTCTGCCACTCTGGCACCCCGGGGGCTGCGGCGCTGCCGAGAACCCGGCGAGCACGGCCCGGCAGCCACGGCCCCGCGCGGTCGCTCGCTTCCTGTGCCGAGCTCCGCTCGTAGCTCCGCAGAGCAGCAAAATGCAATGCTTGTAAGTTGGAAACATTTTTCCAGACAAAAGGCGTCTAACAAAGGATTGTCAAGAAATCTGGAATCTTCATTTCATTAAGATAAATACATTAGTGTTGAATTTGGCAAAACACRTATTGTGTTAGCTGGTGTGCTGTTTAAGACAAATTTATTCAGATGGTGWGTAACAGTGCATGATGAAAAAAACATACCAAATAATTCACTATAATTCACTATTTTATCTGTTCACTATTTAACTTTTTAATAAAATGCTGTTCTTATAGTTCAAGTAGGAAAGATTTTAAAATATAAAGAGATTTACAGCCGTCCACTTATTTTGAGCACAAGCTGCACAAACTTCTTTGTGACCTTATGCAGCTTCGCAGCTATTTGGCTACGGCCGCCCGCCGCGCCGCGTCAGGAGCCTCCCGGCGCACAGGGCCGCGCGGGAGCCCTGCCCAGGTACTTGGAGCGAGGACCTGGCACCCCCGTGGGAAACATGGCCCAACTGAAAATCCAAAGGAAACTCTGGTAATTCACGTCTATCCACACAGGGAARTCTGAACATGAGCAATAGCAGCAATATAAAATTTTCTACATTCTCCTGTTGATGTGAGAGAAATATGAACTACAGAGATGGGTCGGTTTGGCAAAATGAACCTGCTCACCTGCTTCTTCAGGAGACAACTGACCARAATTTCTAGCAGAGGTGCTAATTAATGCAGTTTTTCTTAACCCTGGTTCACCAGGAATTAGATGGACACCAAATTAGATTTCATGCTGATTACTGAACAGCCTTAGAGAATACTGATTACCCTTTGACAGATTTCCCAGATAGGCCACATCAATGAGACAGCTATTTCCCAAAGAGCCAACTGTTCTGAGAAGCACTGATGTGAAGCAGATGTTCCACTTAACTTCAGTAATTGCAGTTTTGCTCACTCGCCGCCAAACACACACACAAGCTGGAGGGAAAGCCRAGGGACAGGAACTAAAGGATCCCGTGGATGCAGCAGGAATCTGTGCTGGAACCTGGGCTGGCGGGGCAGGAGAGGGCCCTTCACACAAGGCAGGGCTTCAAGGGCGGCCGCTGTTCAGTCTGCAGAGCAGCAGAGCTGCGGGGTCACCCATGGGTGCAGATACCGAGGCGAGTGCACAGAGGCCGTTCACAGGGGCGCCCCGTGCAGGACAAGAGGCAGCAGCACAAACTGAAACAAGGGAAGCTCTGTCTGAATGTGGAACAAGCTGCCTGGAGAGGCGGGAGAGCTGCTGCTCCCGGGCAGCCTGCTCCAGGCGGCGCTGCCCGGGCTGCAGGGACGGGCGCTCCCTGAAGGTCTCTGGTTGTGTAACTCTCACCGGAGCACTAACCCAAGCCAAACACGAAGTCCTYCCTCTTTGAGCAGAGAAGCAGAACCCATGCAGATCTGTTGGAGGGCCACTTCGCACAGACCCATAGGAGACTCTCTTATCCTCTTTAGAGCACAAAAACTCTTAGAGAGAGAGGACATGCAGAGAAAGGAAATACAAGAAGAAACTACTGGACGGATCTCAAGGACACTGRCAGAAAATGATGAGGCATCGAATAAAACAGCACAAGGCAACAGCCCTAAAAAATTTAGTAGAGTAAGCGAGGAAATCGCAGCCTCTCTCATCAATATGGAGAAGAACCTGGGCAGGAAGATCCAGCTCCTTCCCGCTGCACCGCACACAACTATSTAAGGAAGAGGGAAGGCGAGGCCACTGGAACTGAACCCATCCGAACTGTCAYGTACTGGGAAGTGACCTAATGAGGAGGCCTGAATTCCATACAGACTGCCAGGGTCCCTGCCAGGGACACGTGTCACAGCACACATGGCAGGACAGATTTTTAACCACTCTGCTTTAGGACAAGTTACGCAGGTGGCCCTCCTTATCACAGTAAGGAACAGTTCACTTGAAAGGCTCCCAGCAGTACAGGTAGAGGAGCTATTCACATTATCAATCCTTGAGATTAAGCCGAGTAATAACTGCAGAATTGGTGGTATGTGATAAGCAAATCATGTAAGGATTAAAAATCTTAAACCAATCAGCAATCTAAGATGAGAATAATCCACATAAAAAATGCCACTTACATTCACAGGCACAGCATTCTAGCAAGATGTTACCTAATCTTCCTCTCAGATTAATTGCTTCAGGGAAGCCCGAGTGTATCCCTTTTCTTATGCCACAATTTAACACAAATCAATGATCCAAATGCTAGTATTAGACAGGCGAGCAAAGAGAGGAACTACCCAAAATACTAACGCAGCCCGGAGGACACCCCTCGCTYGACCCGGCACTGTGCTCCCCTTGGGGACGCAGAGCGGCGCCCGCAGTGCGGGGTCGGGCGCTCCGGGTGCTCCGAGGGGCGGCTGCCGCCGGCTTCGCGGCGCCGCTTCCGCTCCCGCCTCGCGCCCAGCGCTTGGACACGCCAGGAAGCTGCCAGGACGCCCGAGCAGGTGATTAATTTCTGGTTTCCTCTTACTGCGCCTCAGCAAAGGATTCCAAGACAATGTAGAAAGCAGCTGTAAGCTGAGCACTAACACAGGACCATTAAGAAAGTTAAACTTACTCCGTTTATCTGGAGAAGGTCTCGGAGAATTCTTTGCATTGATTCTCATATGCAATGAAGAAAAATAGTCAAAAAATTATTATAGTACAAAAWGCAAGGAACAATGCCAACAAGGAATTTAAAAGCATAATTGTGCTTCCAGATTATTTTGGAACTGAAAATACAGCAACCTGAAGAAAATAATAAACGGTGCTTTCCATGACCTTGGCACTTGCCAAATTTCTTTTTTTCAGTCTTCCTCTTACGCTAGTCTGGCTTAATTATTTAACTGTACGTAAAATCTCTGCGCACAGCTTCAAGCTACCACCTGCACTTCTGTATAAAGGCGGCTGGCGGAGACACTGCTGCTCTTGGAAACGCTTTGGATGGCGACGCTGAGCGRCATCCCAACTTGCTCTGGAATTCTGCAGCCCAGGTTAGAAAGACACTGTTTTTCTAGGAGGGTGAAATCATGAGGGGAAAAGAGGATGGGATCATATGAGGAAACTTCTTTCTTGTTTGGGGAAAAGATTTTAGCTCAGGTAAATTCCGATGRAAAAAATGTGCTCCTACTTTAACAGAAACTTTAAGTAGTTTTCTAAACATCTGGAGAGGAAGGGAATGATTCTGAATCAGTAGAAATGATGGTACAGAAGCACAAAGCACCAGCACCCTGAAGAAACTGCCTGCCCATTTATTTCGTGATCCTGACAGCATTGCAATCAGGAGGAAAGAGCTGGAGCACTTTGCAATTCCAGAACTAGGGAATCTCTGAGCACCCTGGCAGCCTTCTAACTGGGAGCTTATCCATGAGCCCAGGACAGTCCCTGCGGCCTCCATGTAACGGAGAAGTGTCCATGACCCGCAGGCACCGGAGTCAGCACGGGCATCCCGCTCCACTGCACAGCCGGGGGGACACAGGGGATGAACTGAGGGCATTTTGTTCTACGTGCTCTGAAACCTGCGCTACGTTCAGCAAATTAGACAAAACCCTACTGGTGGGTAAGCCTGCCCGCACCATCAGTATCTCAGAAAAGTGACGGTAAGGACCAGACAACAAATAAACCACCAATGCCAATTTCCATTTTCTTTGCAGTTAAGGCCCTGCTTTTAGAAGTTGACAGACTGGATGGCTAACAAGTCTGATACTGCAAAAGCATCTGTAACTCGGCCCCTCAGCAAAAAAACAAACCTATTTCGAATTCTAGTGTAGAAATCAATCTTATTTTTTAGCACTGAGGAAGAGACACGAGCCTGTTCCTTGGAGTTTATTTACAGCAGCAAGCTAAGAAAAAAGTAGCAGCTAGAAGTAAAACAGACGTCACAAGCATTACCAAGGGAGGCTTCAACACATACTGCCTCCTGTGACTGCGACACACAGCGTGGCCTACGATTTCTTAACTACTGACTTTCAGTGAGACCTGATGCCCAAACCACTTTCAAGAACCAGATTCCAACATTTCTGCTTTAGGAATTATAGAAAAGCCTTTCAGAAGGAGACATCTTATAATTTTTCCTGCTAGTAACCATGGTCTTCACTGCACACTGGAACTGGCTGCAAGGGAGGACAACCCTTGAAGGAGCTCGAGCTCCCTGAGTGGAGCCCCGCATAGCACCCGGCAGCACCYGGCCACCCACTCCCACCTGGCACCCACAAACAGGCCCCTTCCAACATCTGGGTGCTGAACACACAAGTGTTTCGATACAGATCGTGCCTGGCTGTGACAGACCCACAGCAAAGCAAAGGCCTCTCCTTCACAAATACAATTAGGGAGGTCTTCAAGACACAGTGGAATTGTGGCCGTCATTTATAAATGACAATATATTAATAAGTTCTTTAAAAAAATAAAAAAGGTATGTCTGAGTCACTTTTATGTGGAGGCATTCAACAACCATTCCATCTCACCCTTCAGCATTAAGTGTGCTGTGCAGTGATTGCTTTCCAAGGTAACACCTTTGATTGCTTCACCCGTTCAAAGACACTTCTCCAGGCAAATGCCATTACAGACAGAGAACGAAGCAGCTGTACCTTTATATGCTCCAAAACAGCAGTCGCAACATTCGTATGGAGATCAATGAGTCTCTTCTTTTCCAGCAGTTCTGGAAGTGAGCTGAAAAAATTAAATACAAACTAACCTGCTAGGTTAGTTCAACTGTGTGCTGTACTTTATTTATTTATTTGGACTTACTATGGGACAGCAAAGTCAGAAATAAAGTGAGAAAGTTGAAGTGCAATAATTCTCATGGCAGATCTGAACTATGCAACGGAGCTGACTGAAACAGGGGTTAATGCTGGGCGGCAAGTCATGCATAGCAGGGCAGCTCAGCATTGCTGCTGAAAGCTCGTGATCACCACAACAGCTACGAGTCCTGAAGGCTGCAAACACTGAACAGCAAAACTTCCTTGAGGAGCTTTAGCCACATGCTGCTGCTCTGTTCTTTTTCCCCATTTGTGCTGTAAGTTTAAGGCTTCTGATACTTGTTTCTTTCCTGTCTTGTTGCCATAACCAGGAACCAGCATCTTGCAAACCTGGAAGCACTTCTGGGCTTGTCTGGAAATGCGTGACCAAGACACCTTTTGTACGTACAACCACATTCCAGGCCTGGCATAGCACCCAAACACATTCTGCAAGTCACTGACAATATAAACACAGAGTGGATTTAGGGGACCTCTCACTCAGAACAATTCTCTTTCTGCCACATGCTGACAATGGGGTCTCWGTTAAGAGCAGCAAAGTGAACATTTCTCCAAGGCAGAGGGAAGAACAAGAGTTAGGAAGAATCTGAATCTCAGACTTTCAGTCTCTTCCATGGTGTCTAGGTATCCACTAGCAAGGTACTAACTTCTCAATGCAGAGTTTTAATGACTCTAATTTTGCTAAAGATGTTAACATATTAACTACAGTAACTATTATTAATCAAAATGTAATTAATCACATATTGTGTAAAGAAGCAGATGCCTGGAGAAGTAGTTTCCTCGGCAAATTCTAAAGGAATGTAGAGATAGGAGGGTGTTTCCYGAGGGAGAAGGCAAGCAAATCTATGATGCAGTAAAACGACGTATGGCTCCTGATGAAGTGTCACAAATTCCTATTTACAGGTCCTACACAGACCTACACTGGAAGTCTCTCCTCCTTTGTCACGAGGATTGTCTTAAACATTGAACTCTAGATTAATAATGCACTTAAAGTCCTCTCTTGAGCTGGACAGCCTATTCTTAAAGTCACTCATTTCAAATGACATTAAAAGTGAAACAGCAGAGAGGATCAGAAATTGCTTCCTATTAATTAAGAAATAATGCATTACTGAGGACTTACCTCACAGCTGACGTTAGCTTGGCAGTGTTATCTGAGAGCATACTGATTGCTCCTTCATCCTCCCCTTCTATACCCTGGTTTGGGGAGAGAATTTGGAATAATGATGAATAAAAATAATCATAAATATGAAAACCACATATACAAATACAGTCAGTGCATTTTAACTTCTTTTCTCACGCTGATACRAATATATTTTACAATTACTATGAAGGTAATTCAAATGTAATGCCAACAGAAACAAGAAATTCTGAACTTTATGATGCAAYGTGGGACTTCCAGTCCTCTATTTCAGCTTACAGTACAACAATCAGCATGTATCAACATGTGCTGATGTTTGAGAAAATACAAACCAAAACAGCCTCTCACCCCATGAGTATTCACTGCCCAAGGGCTGTTTTATATCCCTCAGCACAAACACATGGGATGAACCTTACCATGATGCTCTTAAGCCTTTTGACTTCATCTTCCTGAGCTCTGTAGGACTCCAGTTCCTGCTGAACAGACTCGGCTACCTCTGGAAAAGGACTAATGCAAAACCCTGTATTAGGCTCAGTTCAATGAACGAGCTGAAACACTGGAACCAGAGATTGGGCAGAAATGTATTTCAGGAATATCAGAACACTAATCCTGCAGCAGGCTCCAAACAGTGAAAATAATGACATCTTGCTGACTGTTTGCTGAGACTTTGCAAGACAYAGGCACTGCTTTGTGTGTTTTTTGTAATTCTGATAAAAAAATATTTTATGATAAAAACATGAGCAGCARCAGTTATACTCTATGTAACAAAAAGCAGACAATGAATGTAGATTGGTAACAAAAAATGCTCCATTTAAAATAAAACAACCTTCTAATATATTTCCAAGGAAGCTTAAAAACAGAAGTAGTAGAATATGAAAGAATCACTAGACTATCGTTATCATTTTAAGTTTTGTAATGATTTAACTCAGGGAATGGATTCTACATGTAGTGAATTTTCCCCCAAAATTTAATATTTGGCAAACCCTTTCTAACCCAGAACTGCTCAGGGCTCTGAAACTACTTTAGTGATACCAGCGAAGCTACTGTTAGTAGACACACTATGATGGCTGCAACTTCTATTGTGGATTGAAGTCCTTCTAAACCAGTATTAGAACTGTTATTAATATCCTTAAATTTAGRCTTACATTTTTGGACCTTTTTCAGACTTAAAATTATGCTGGGATTTGTGAGCCCCATCTGCAGTAGCCTGACCAGTTGCCCATACAGCCCAACTAAACCAAGGAAATCCTTCCCCACAAGCTGGCTAGGAGTCGCATTCCGCTTACCTGCCTTTATGCTTTTGCCAGAACTTGTCAGATGCGGTTAAGTCATAGGACTTCTTATTTTTTTTCTTAGGTCTAGCACCTGCTGGAGAACTTTCTGTTCCTGCTGATTCTTCCAAGTTAACTCTATTTAAATGGAAATCCTAAAAAAAAAAAAAATTAAACTTCCCTAGTGAAGCTTTGAAATCATTTAATCAGTTATTTATTCTCAGTTACTTTCTAATATATTTTCTAGAATAAACAGAAACACAGCTGTTTATTAAAATTTCATAAGAGGGCAGCAAGCTGTCTCCTAACCAACTAGGCAGTAAGAGCAGCAGTGTTAGAATTCCAAAATTACACAAACTTATTGAACAACTCCCAAACAAAGCAAAAAATTTCAAGCAGGAATATCTGACTGTCTCACAGGCAAGCTATCTGCTTATATTAAACTGATGGGAATATTGTTTTCTTTAGGGAAAATAAATTATTTAACAGTAACTGAGCTTCAACAGCTGACTAACATTTTATCATCATGAAAGTTTCTGTGCTGCAGAACAACAAACAAGCTTCTCGGCCCGAATTCCACTCTCCCAGCCACAGCAGAAGTACCAAAGCAGCAGAGATGTTCAAGACACAGGCAGGGGAACATCCACCCTGTGGCCTATTTACCTGCCCACCTTCACAGGCCCCTCTCCCTCCCTCCCTCTGAACTAACACCCCAGTGGCAGGTCAAACACTCGCTCACAACAATCACAAACTCTCGCTTGCAACAAGGTGGAAATTTCCCTTCCTGACCTTTCTTCCACAAACATGTGGGCCAAGAAAGCCCATTTTCAGACAGGTGACAGTTATTTGTGCTCAATTCTCTATCTCCACGCTCCTTCCTGTATGTTTTCCCTTACCATCCCTGGCCAGGGCTGTTTTCTGCAGCACATTCCCCATTCCCTCTGGCTTCCAATACAGCGTCCAGCTAGGAGCCCACTCGCTGACTTTACTCTAACCTCTGTCACAAAACATTTAAAATTCTAAAGTTCCTGTTTTCTTGGTAAATAACGACAAAAGGAATCAAATCCTGGACTTTACAGAGTTTGTCATGAAACTTTCAGATTATGTATTTTTTTCCAGGAATACAACTGCATTGTATTATGCCCATTACAATATCCAGAACTAGATCATCATAAGTGAAATTGTCACATAAAAACAACTTAAAAAGCATTTCTAGCTATCACTTTACAGAGTTCTAAAATGAAATGCTACAAATCACCCCTGCCAGCATGGAAACAAAAACAAACAACTACTCAAAAGAAGCCTATGCTCCCACAAGGGAGAAATGTCCTTTAACAAGGGCCTGTTCAAGGTTTCAGTAAAAAAAGAGTATTTTTCACTAACATTTGTCCACTAAAAGATTAACAGCAAAAACAAAACAAACAAACCCCCAAACCCAGAGCTGATCCAAGGCTCAGCCCCTGTTCTCAGGGCAGGTCTCTGTTTCGGCTCAGTTTCCCTCAGCAGGGCCCTGTGCTTCCAAGCCGGTTTTCGCGCTCGCTCCCTCCCTGAGGCGAGTCCCTCCCTGCCCAATTCACCTCTCGGGCCCTGTCYGGCCTCCCCAGGTCGCTGTGGAAGGAGGTTTCAGCGCAGGCGGCAGGACTCTCCTCCCGGGGCTGCCTGCACCGGCAGGGCACAGCGCGGTGCCTGGGCCACCCCTCAGCTCCAGCCCTTCAGCTCAACCTCCACAGGGTCCACCCGCTGTGGAAGCGACCACCACCACCCTGGCAGCACTTCCATTGTTGCAGTTCTGTGGTTGCTTTGTCAAATGTCACGCTTGGTTTGCAAGGCGTGCTTGCCTGCAACTGTGCAGCTTGCCTGATCCTGAAATTAACCTTTTCCSCTTAATACAACACACCGGCAGCTCAGTTACAATCCCATGAGGCAGATTTGTATCCCTACGAACTCGGTGCAAAGCCAGGCGCAAGGTTCAGCGAGCGGACACAGGGGAACCCCTGCACCCCGACACAGCACAGACACCGATGCGGGGGGCCGCGCACCGGCCCATGCAGCCAGCGCTGCTCTGACACCGCTCCGCGTGCGCAGCTCTGGTCRCCCTCAGCTTCCAGGGCATCCTGGCCCCTCTGCTCCCGGAGCACCAGGGGGCTCAACCCACGCAGCCCCGGCTGCTCCGGCCCCAAGTGGCCTGGCCAGCTCAGCGGGCGAGGGAACGACACGGGGCAGCCCACACCATCCCATTCGCCCCTCTGAAGAGGCCAACGTCAGCCCCCCTCCTGGGCCCTGGCCTTCACAAAAAGCAGTTTAGTCTAATTGTAAGCCTTCAGGTGGTTAAACACAGAGTAAAATGCATATTTTCCATATATACATTTGTCTTAAAGAAACCAGAGTTTTTTACTTTTGTGATCACTATTCTTTTGTTTCAAAGAGGAAAGGACTTTTTATAAAGCACCGGGCAATGAATTACACAAAACAGTTCAAGAGTCCTAGAGCATCCTATTTGTGCTGAAAAACCTTGATCACAACCATACAAGTTTGCAGACATCATGATGTACAAGTGCTAAATTCATAAGCAATTTTGAATGCAAACACAAAACTTTGTCTACATGTGTCCTTGGGTGTGTATTTTACATGTTCCTCTAACAGCCCAAGTCATAAAGACAAAATATTTCTAGGAAAAGCTACATACTGAAATGATTTGCATGGTAACTCTACAAGTAAAAAGAATAAAAATAAAAAATTCTTAAGACATTACTCTCACATTATCTTTTATTATTTAATTCCATAATTATATAAGAAAATTATAATTCTCAACTGAACCGTATTTGTTTTGTTCAGTACATTTCTACTCCTGGATTTATAAAATAAACTCCAGGAAATGAATGTGCTCTAAAACTCCATGAATTTAAACCCCCCCCCCCCAAAAAAAAAAAAAAAAAAAAAAAAAAAAAACCCCAACCCACCCCAAATCTTATTTTGGATTCCTTGGAGTAGGACCATACACCGTTGGACATTTCTCCGCTAAACAGCTACACCATCTTGTGGAGAAAAACAGCAACAGGCGCGTGTAGAAGTTCTGGCTAACACTAGGACAGGCTTAGAGCTTAATCTTTTTTTTTTTTTTTTTTTTGAAAACCGAGACGTCTTAGCTGGAATTTAGAGTTTCCACAACAAAAAAGATCACGAACTACTGAAAACAAAGCAGGGTTGCTAAATTATCAACATTTTAGCAATATCAGGATTTCAACTTTTTGATTATTTTATCTTAGATGTTATCAACAAATAAATCTTCTAGAGGAAATCTTTCAAGTTGTTTTTAACTAAATCTCCAAACAAAGCAGATCAAASACTGTCTTCATTAAAAGAAAATATGGCATTAAGGTTAATGACAAACTGAATCAAAAAATATTTTTGGTAATAAAATTAGGTATATTCTTACCAGTACATCATGCACTAAAGCTTGGTATGTCCAAGTATGATGTAGAGGAGTTGCTAAATCTATGTTTCTGTCAACAAGGACTAATAGGGGCCTTTGGAAGCTGAAAAGATGACACTGCATTAGTACCTTCTTTAAACACGTTTAGAACATTCCAGTAACATCCTCAGCGATATCAACCACCTTCTGCCGCAGATTTCAGATTAAGAGCCAAGTTCTGTTCTAGGGGGTAATTCCAGCCTTCCCTGAAGCTCCTGTGGCTTCACTGCCAGGAACGGCATGAATCCCTGTCCTGGCAGCCGTAAGAGGGCACCCTGCTTTGCACCAAGTGAAACTACCAACACGGGACATGAAACAGGAGTCTGCAGCACCCAGCAGTAACGAGCCTTTCAGGGCTGGATTATGACCTTCTGGTGCACATATATGGGAATTTTCATCACCTGTTTTATGCTAATAGAAGGTCAAGTGGGTCAGTTCAACATTAATTCCCGCTATGAGCCTTAAATACAAATCTCTCAAGTGTGTTTCCTTTCATTTTTCCTGTTTGCTTGCATACAATGTCTGTAAAGAAAAGATTATCAGCTTCTCAGATGCGCTGGAATGACCTCATCAATACTTAATTTACAGAAAAAAAATCAGACAAGCCTAAATAACTTGGGCTATGGTTGCATACACCACTTACAGTGAAGATAGGAATGGTGTAAACGTACAGAACATGACTGTAACAATCCCCCAGAGCACATTAACCCTATGGTAAATCTGAGAGGTTTTGAAGGGAATAAAAAGCACAGTGATGCCATGCTCTGGCTTTCTTTGTATGTTTCTTCATGCGGATGAAGGTGACTGGGAGCCTCAGCCACTGGCCTGTCATCATTTTGAAAAACAAACTCAATATCTGAAGCCACTTAAGTGATTAACGGTTCATGTATTTCTCCTTGTATGCTGATTTTCTGAGAGTAATGATGCTAGACTGTAAGAAAAAAGCTACCCCTTTTAAGGAAAAATAGTGGTTGCAATTCAGTTGCAGTGAACTGAAAGGAACTGGGATTTCACTGCTATTTCTTGTCTTTTTACTTTCTGATACCTCTCAATCTCAATTTATTTTGCCACACTTACAGACGTGTTCATGTCTCTTGCCAAAGTGYTGCTCTTGATTTTCAAAAAAAAATCCTATGTAAAGACTATTTTACATCCCAAGGAATGTAAAACACTAAAACTGTTTTACATCCTTGGGGATGTATACACTAGGGGTTGGTAACCATTTCTTTTAGTTCCAATCTTTCCAATAGGTTTCCTCACCTTCTCACGTACAGTGGGAGCCACTGAAACAAGTCCCTGTCCCTCCCCAGCAGCCCATGGAGTCTCCCCTAAGATGATTTGTGGGAGGCCTCTGCCAACACCTACCAGACAACTGGAGCGTCTGCAGTTTCTTTTCCAGCTGCTCCTTCCCCACAAGGATCTCAGATCTGTCTAATGACCCGAGGCAGCTCCCCTCTTGTGGGAGCAGAGATGAGCTGAGAAACACCAGCCTTGATGTAACTGCAGCTGATAACTGCTCCCAAGGGAGCAAGTGTGACTTCCTTTCTTTTTAAYTGACTGAATGATACCAGCAAATGTCTAGACATGCAAGCGCATATCCTAGAACTGTGAACCAAGCATATTGTCAGGGACTTGGGTTTTGTTGACTTTAAAAGTGAACAAAATTGTCTGCCCCTTTAAATAATTTTTGACTCCCTGAGTACTTCTTAGCTGTGTAAGTTTTCAATCTGACTATACAAAAAGATACAAAACCTTTCTTAGAAGAACTTCTAATTCTTTTAACACAGGCAAGCTCAGAATCTGAACCAAATCCTTGTAAAGAGCACAGTGACTCAACTGTAAAGAGATCTTTCAGACAACTGAAATATGAAAAGGGAAGCCACAAATACCATACCTGAACTGGCCAGCTCCAAGCGTGTCACCCGTAAAAAGACTGTTCCTGGCATCTCTCAGATTCTCTCTAAGCTTCTTATCTAATTTCTGAGGGGAAAAAAAAAAAAGAAAAAGAAAAAAGTATCTTTTAATAACCCATGGTCATTTTAATGACTCACTCGGGCAATTTGCACCCTCTCCCTAAACAAAATCCACTAACAGGAAACACAAACAGCTCAATCGACTGCAGAAGCAGCACATGGGCTGTCAGACACCTGCCATGGTGAATATTTCGTAAGAATGAGACTACTACTGCTGTGAATATATGAACATTGAACATTTGGTTTTATTCAGCACAAGGCATTTTTTCCATCACCATCAAGTCTGGCAATTTCATCTCTACTTGATGATCAAGTTTATTTTAATATAGTAAAGAAAGTCCTGCATCGACAGGGCTTCCCTGCAAGGCAGCTAGAAGACACGTGTGACCCAGTAAGACACACAGAAACYCCCAAGCTCCCAAGACCACAGAGTACAGTGGTTCTAACTATTATCCCTCTTGGAAAACTTTATCTAGGGTAGAAAGGATTATTCAGGCTAAATCATAATATTGCAATACAATAATATTATGATACTCTGATTTCTACTGATATGTTCCATAGAACTGAGATCAGAATGGAAAAGTGGTTTATTTACTTTCCAGCTTTTCCTCCCCAATAAGTAAAAACATACGATACCAATGGATTTCTGCGTGATACTGCAAAGAGCAGATGTGCTGAAGGAAAGCTTCAAAACAACGATACTTCTTTAGGGGGGAAAAAAAAAAAAAATCTTACCACTGCCACCATTTCAGCTGCAGTTCCTCTTGAGCATCTGATTATAGGAATAGCTCCTAATAAAAGAGATAGCAATTTCCATTTGCATGATAGGTTTCAGATCTTAAGTTAGTGCATTTTTCAGAAAAAGAGATCTTGGGACATTTTGAGGTGATTTCTTTTTAAGTGGACAATATAAATTACACTAAGCCTGTCTCTTGCAGCCATTGCCTATGATTCCATAGATATGACACCAAACCTTGCATTTCAGGAGCACCCGCTGACCTTCAAGTCTGAGACTCACCATAGGGCAGATTTTATGGACAGCAATAACCTTGGCAACCTACTCCGTGAACTATTCCAGGTTTTTGCACCACTGAACTTCCAGTTTTCCCTGGCTGCTTTAATCACAACTTCTAACTAAAAATATATCTTTTATAGAAAGAAAACACATTGAAAATATGTTGGAATTTGAAAACTTACCAAGTGTAACAAAGAAACAGAAGAGACTATCAACAATAGTGTCCATTATCGTTTCCATTTCGGTGTCGGTTATATCTGGTCTGTTAATGGCTAAAAGAGGAAGGCAAAAAGGTTACAATCGGATGAAAGAAACTCATAATGCTGTGTTATTACCGAGAGACTAAGTCTCCTCTTACCCAGGGGCTGTTAGCAGCCAAGCGCCTGGGTGGATGAGGGGATCTTAAATGTGAAGGGCACCTTTGGGCATCTCCACGGCTTTAGGTGGGACCCTGGGGAGACTTTAACTAACGCTCCTCATGTAAGGCCAAGGGCTGCACGGCCCCATCCTGCTCTCCCCGACACTCGGCGCACCCCAACTGCTGCTGGGATCGCATGTGCCAAAGCAAAAACCTCCCAGGGAGCCCTATGTTATGGAATACGGATGGCCACCCACTTGGAAACCACTTGGCAGATGTGAAATTGTCAAGTATTAGACATGCAGGTTTTTAAGAGACTTACAGTACATTTTTCTAAAAACTTTTTTTTTAAATTAAAATTATTTTCAGTTTCTAGTCTAGGGAAAATTCCCTAAAACACATCATGTTACAGACAAAGTTTCTCCTCTGCTGCTAAGTCAGTAAAAAAACTCCTTAGCAGCATTTCTGATAAGTAATTGACATGAATATAAAAGCTCATAGGAAATATCATCTTACTACAGGTATCAAATCACGTGCTAACTTGGGACTCATGCCATAAATCCCCTTTATTTTATTTTACTTTTCAAAAAGTCTCTGAAATCGTTACCTGCCTTATCTCCTTACCTCAAATAGGAACTTCACTGCTCAGAGCACTATTAAGCTTTCCATCCCAAATTTATGCATGGCCAGCCATAATCATTCTCTAACTTAAGGGTGATATTTTTTCTCCCTACTTTTGTTCTCTGAAAACTTTACAGAGATTAATTATATTAGCAGTTTTTATTAGCAGCTAGACTTCACAAGTCAAACATTAGGCTATTAGAAAGACAACAGCAATAGAAGTGCTCCCCTCAGCACCTTTTTGTTATGTGCTCATCTTTCTTAATCATCAGACTGCTCCAATTCCTGTATTTTCCTGTAATGTCAAAATTTTGAGATTAACTGAGGATATCAGTTTCTGTAGTTAACCTCCAACTAATGGTCTCCCAGTTTACTGGGGGTGGTGGTGGAAATATGATTGTTTTTATTACAGTATCATATTCCTTTCTTTTTTTTTAAACAAAATTATAAAGGTATATAAACAACAGAGAAATACAGAGAAACCATAGGGTTTCTCTGTATGTTCAAGTAAGGAGAAATAATTCCTAAATAATTCCATGCATAAAAAGCTCTACTATCCATTTATAAATCTTTGCTACAATTTCCCTTTGCTAAATTTTATATCTTGAAAATTTGAAGTATAATTAGGTGTTCAATACTTAGTTATATTTTAATCTTAATTATTTTCCTAAATGAAATTATTTATTTATATTTCACTATCGCAATAGTCACATGGTAAAAATGGTGTGTTTAAGACTTAAGAACTGCTTTCCTCATGATTTTATTTTAACRGGCTACCCTGATGTCTGAAGAGCTCAAAGATGAAAAGGCCTATATAGATGCAAAGATCTGTGCGTGCAATCTACATGTTAACACCACAGAGAGTCTGAAACTTGGAAGTCAAATAGAAACATTGTTAGGTATTAATCACAACATCAAAAGTAAACATTCCAGTATAATTTTTGCAAAACTTACCACGATATGAAACAAGCTCTTTGTTTTGGTTACACAATATAAACATATCATCTTCCAAAGTAATAAAATTGAGATACTGGTCAAACACCTAGAAATCAAAGAACGATAGTGAGCACAGTTCCTAAAGAAGTATAGAATATCTGTTTGTCATTTACTTGCACTTCTGTTTGAACCTCAGTGTTACACAACTACCTATTAGAAGACATAAATGTAAGACATACTGTACAAATGAGAAAAGTTTTCGTAAACACTGAGTGACAGTGCAGAACACTCCTGAAGCACTCCTGAAGAGTGCTAAAAAAATAAACCAGCTTCAGGCATTTCCATGGATAAATGTTTAGTAGTCAAGCATCAACATACATGGAAAAGAGTGCAATGTTATAAGCTTATTTTTTACTATTATACTGTACTAGTAATATGAAGAACTACAATACAAGCAGTCTTCAGCCAGGAGAGATGAGAGAGTAATACATATACAGTAAGAGACTATTTTTCATACTATTTCAAACTTTCTGTTAAATACTTGTACATTCAGAAAAAAAGTGAAACCCCTATAGCAAAAACTGTGAAGGGGACAAATAAATACAATAAAATTAGTCAACAGCACTACACCCATTTACCTCTGCTGAATATCTAAGGTTTAAAAAAGCATTATTAGTTTTTTATTTAAATTCCCAACTGTTTCCTTCTCCACTCYAGTAGTTATTCCCAATGGGACTGAGGAAAAAAACAAATGTATTTAAATGCATATAAAAATAATTAATAAGATGTAGTTTTGATATTAATAATATGTAGTAYTAAACAAAAAAGGAGGGACTGACCCCTGGCAGGTCACTGGTCGCTGAAGGTCTAGGAGGGCTCACTACCACGGTGTGTGTGTGTGTATGGATCACTCATCACTGAACACCATTTAAAATGACAACTGCATTCACACAAACATTTTCATGTACTATAAGCCAAAACCTCCATACCATTAAATATGACTGGATGCAGTTACTGAGTTGATGAGACTGGGAATGCCCCTGAAGCCACTTTATTTCCYCCCTTATCACTCACCACACACCTTGCAGCACTTGGACTTCTAAGATGAAATTTAGTGCTAGGCAGCATTAATGAGAGGACTGTAATTCCCTTATTTTCATGACTGTCACTAAATCAAACTATATAAGATAAAAAGAAATCCATTTATTTTCTTTATCAAAAAAGCCACGTGTGCCATACATGTGGTCAAGAAAGACTACCAGAACACCTGTAGCAATATTATCTTTAACACAGAGACTGTGATTTTCTTACCTTAGCCACCTGCGTTACTGCATTAGCACCTATAGCAGCATTTGCAATATCTTCCAGTTTACTTCTTGAAATGGCAGAAATAAAGTTTAAATAATATGATTCATAAAGTTGATTTCGAAGATCCTAAAAAAAAGGAAGACAATAACCTTTTTCCTGAATAAATACCAATATATTTTGGAATAACTAAAAACATAAATGCTTTCACAAGGTGGTATTCCAAAATCATAGACAAATTACAATTTCTGCTTAGTACTTAAATTCATATGCCCTTGTACATAGTGTTTTGACTAAAATTACTAAATAAGACTCCCAGAACTGACAGGAAATTAATTACATAATAACCCGTATTGACACATTAGTACAGACAACCATGTTGCTATTTTTTCTTCCTTTAGTAAAGATGACAAATTTAATGAGCTCCTCCCACTGAATCAACTGTTGAGGCTGAAGGGGACCTCTGGAGATCACCCAGCCCTATCCCCTGCTCAGATCAGTCCAACCACAGTAGGTTGTTCACGCAAAACCCAGGCTGTTTTTTTAACACTTCCAATAGTGGAGAGTCCACAACCTCTTTGGGCAACTTGTTCCAGTATTTGAACATTCTCATATCATAAAAGAGATTTTTGTTTGTTTGTTTTATGTTCTAATAGAATTTGCATGTATTTTAATTTGTGTCTTCTCATCCTCTCATTCCTAAAACTCACTCCCCAAAATTCTGTCACACATTTATTCTTCTGCTCTCTGAGAAACAGAGATTTCCACATCAAATTTTGTGGAAAAATATTATATGACAAAAATTTCTTAATAATAAAACACAAGCAAAGGTGTATTCATACATGCACAAGGACTGCATGTAGGATAGTGAGATTCCCTTCAGGGCAATATTACTTCACACCCTCTCTCTGTGTCGTATCTATTCATCTTGGGTATCAAGCACACAAGTTACCTGGCACATTCTGTCAATATTTTCTTCTGTTGGCATTACAAAATAAACAGCTGGAACATCTGGAATAGCATCTCGATCTGAATGCAAAAGCCTGAAAGAATGAAAACTAAATCTCTAAGGTGTCCTTCAGAGCTGTGTAACACTGTAATTCTAAAGAAATCATTTGTCTATAAGGAACCATCTAATTCCCCAGAACTTCTCCTTGCATTTTTTTTACTTAGACTGTAGCAAGAACACAACATGAAAAAAATGCAAAAAGAAAAAAAAAAACCCACTTTTCTTTTCAGTAGCTAAATATGTCAATGACCATCTCCAAATTTTATTTGAAAATTGAGAAAGGATTTCAAAAATATTGAATACTGATTATTTCATCCACACAAAACTAAAATATAACACTCAAGAGTGTTTATTTATGTAATACTACTTGTTGGATAATTTGAAGCATGACAACATCAAAAAAGCTTAACTTATACTAGTAACCTTGCCTTTCCTGCTCCTCTAAACAAGACAGGCAAGGTGCTAATGTTTYTATTTCATTGCTGCAGATGTGTCAATAGATTAAATTGTATTTCAATTTCTAGCCTTCACTTAGCAAAAGTTAATAAACTTTGAAAAATCTAAAGGCAAGTTTAAAATACTTCCATGGCTATTACCACAACTACAGAATGACAGCAAACTAAGCTTAAACACAATTTAAAGATAAATTATAAGTCTCTTAAAATAATACTTAAATATTTTGTAACGTGGATAAGATAAAATTAAAGTGTGTATRTAAAAATGCATGCAAGGAGCATTCACAATCTCATCAAACAATTTGTGCCAGAAAATCTTACCATGTATGAAATATAACTTTTATGTTTGGACAGGGGTCTCCTATATGGAGTAAGAAATCCTACTGAAGAATATCGTCTCATCAGTCCCTGATTCTTAACAATTCCATTTGATTTTAGGAAGCAAGATATAACCTTTATTTTGGCAGTTGTTCTTTAAAATGATTTTAGATATATTGTCATGACTTGTCGGGAATATTAAGTAAACTACTTAAAAAAACAAACAAACAAAAAAAATCCACTTAAAAAAGGTACTTACAGATGCAAAGTGATCCCCATGTCTCTCAACTCTTTCACTGACAGYAATGGTGAGATTATATCTTGGCCGAATCTGTCATAAATGAGAACCTGTAACACAGACATGGCTGTAGAGATACACACCTTCTTACCCAGCAGGCAAGAGAGTGGACAAAGTAATTCAGGTTTAAAGAACTACTGCCATAATCTTGAAGGTGCTAAACCTTTATGCATTTATAATATATCATTAATTTGTCACAAACTACCTGTACATTTGTGYTTACTACTACAAAAAGAAAAAAAGAAAATCAATTCAAAGATAAATAGAAAAAAAATCATCACTTCCTTCTGAAAAAAAGGTCAGCGAGATCAGTGGCTGTCAGTAATTTGTTACTTATTGAATAGGCAGAATTTCTCTATTCGGGGAAGAAACAGAGGTAGAAGTAGAGGTAAAACACAGTACCTAATAACAGAAGACAACAAAACAAATGAAGACATAGTGTATTTCTGATAGCAAAAATTTCCTCAGAATCAAGTTATTTAATTCTTTAAAACTAATGAAGGTAGCTTGATCTCAGCTTGTCCTAAATTTAAAGTTTTCAATAATTTTCCCTTTCTGTGGGTTTCTTCTTGACCTTTTAAGTTCAATCTATAATTCTCATCTAAGTTTATGCCAACAGATATCAATGAGACTTAAGCACATTTCAAAACATTCTCTGCAGCTGCTCATTAAAATATCTGCATAGAGAATCTGTTAATCTTTGGCTAATCAACCTTTCAAAAATGTATATTTTCCAGAAATTTTAATATACAATTTCTATATATTCTTAACAGGGAAAAAAAAAAAAGATTTGAACAAGATAAGGACATTAAAGTAAACTTGACTTAGTTAAATCTAAACTTTATGGAGCACTACAAAACTCTGCTGTTCCCGCTTCAAGTACTTACCTTCCATACGGGTTCTCCTGTGCTGTTTTTAACCGGAGGAACATTGAAGTTCAACATACGTTTCAAAGCCGCTGCAAAGGAAGAATAATGATTTACTCTACGGTTTTACTGTTTGGCACAACTGAAACACAATAACAGGCCTTTATGATATGGTTCTTTTGGGAGGAAAACCCACACAAAAAGTAAATACAACAAGCCACACTGTATTATTTTTAGGCAACTTTTGGCTGACAAGCATCACACATCAGCTAGAACTTATGAGCACAGAGAAACACTGGAAAAGGAAGAAAAGAAACATATAAAGAAAGAATCTCTCTTTGTTATATGTGTTGTATTCTGTTACAATGCCTTAAAAAAATACTTTCAGTCTCTTTCCAAAGGCGACATGGGACGTTCTGTACATTAAGAACTATTTTGCTCTGCATTTCCCAGCAAACTGGAACAGCGTTATACACATAAGCCAAAAATACCTGTTTGCCTGATGGCAACTTTGATGCACATATTGCAACATTTCGAGAATGTTTAGAAAACATGCAAAGAAATTACAGATTTGAGAGAGATAAAAATTCCTCCAAGTTGCAGTAGGGAAACTCTTAGAAACATGAATGTGTCTTCATTAAATGCCCCACCCTACACACGAAACAAGACAGATTCGTTAAGCTACCTCTGACTCACTAATCACCTCRGTGAGGAGCCCTCCCCTTTTACCTGCTTAGACAATACATAATGTTCTCTTATCCCATCTTTGACTAGAAGCCAAAAAATTATTTACATCAAGACAAGTTGGTCGCTATTCTCTCTGACTTGATGAGTAAAACTATCATAAAGGTTCGCAAAGAGCAAAACCGTTCAGAAATCACAGCAGTGCACACCGCTTGGCTCCTCAACGCTAACAGTGGAAACGGTTCCCACTGAAGCTAAGAGCACTCAGTGCAGCTGCTACGGAGTTCAGGGGATCACTAGGTAGCTCCGGCTGGGAAGTTTGGACATGGTCCATGATTTTCATGGGGATCAGGTGAGACTCATGAGGCTGTTATTCCCTGGATTGTCCTTTTGCCCTCTTTAAGATGGGAGCAACCTTGACATCTCTAGTCGTGGTTGGCATGTCCTTTCAACGAGGGTGGAGGTGGCCCTGCAAGGACGTCAGCTGCATCTCGCAGTGCTGCCAGGTGCAGCTCATCAGGTACGATGATGAGCTGCACTCATACATGCCCAACTGTCTCAAATAATCCCTGCTCCAGCCCTCATTCACTCCTAGTAATGCTCTTTGAACACTTCCCAAAGGGCCTGGAAAACTCTGCTGGAGAAGACTAAGGCAAGGACAACATCTGATTTCTTGGCCTTTGCCACTGATCGCTTATCCCGAAGCTCTCTCACACTTTTCCTTGCACCACTAGTGCAGCAGCAGCTCTTTTCATTGCTCTTTGCAATCCTTGCAAATCTCAATTCCAGTTGAACTTTGGCTTTCCTAACACCACACGCATATGCCCAAGCCTAAAGTCCTCCTTCACACACTGCCCTTGCTTCCACCTCCCATATGCTGCAATTTTCAGATCACATCATCATCAGCAACAACACTGCTGAGCCCATGGACCTCTGGGAGCTGATTACAAAAGGGACGCTCAAGCTTCCCTCCTCCTGCCCACGACATCTTCTGCACCCYGCGGCCAGAGGGCACAAAACTGAACGTTTGGTACTACTGGATTTGAAGCAGCTTCTTCACAGAGTTCATCATTTACAGTAAAACTCAGCACCAGTCCTCTACAAAAGCAGACAGCAATCAGACCACCGCTGTGCTGTGACTATCATGACAAGCATCACCCATTCATCATTTATCAGTTTTTTTTTTTTTTTTTTTTAATTCACCTTGCCATTTAATTTCTGTTTAGGCTGCACGCCCTGGAGCATGGATCAGGTTTGCACTTTATTAGCAGGACGACCTGCTCCGACAGGCCGGGGAGCAGGACCAAGGTCACAGCAGCTGCTGCTCGTGTCTGGTTACACACACACATCGTTCGAAACACATCACTGCAGGTGCTGCCCGAGCATCTTCCAGCAGTTCAAACTGCCTTCTTACAAACTAACTCCCCAACAGGCAAATCACCTGCCCAACAAACTACCAACGGACTGAACGGATTCAGCGGTGAAGGATGATGGAAATAATCAGGCAGCAAGAAGAAGGAGGTATAAAAAAAGAAAAAAAAAAAAAGAACAAAGTTGTGTGAAACGACACAAGGACTCCGGCGTGCTTAATGAGAAAGGTGCCGAGTGAACAAAAGCAAAGCATAATAAGGGACAACAAAGAGCACTGTTGGTGGTAGGAGACCAAAGGAACGAGACTACAGCAAGAGGCTTTGCRATGCACAAAGCCACAGCCAGTACTAGCAAGTGCTCACAGGGACTGAGATCCTTCAGCTGGTGCTTTGGGAAAGTGCACCTTAAACAGACACACCTCAAATCCTCCAACCCCTGAAAGGCACCACCTTTCTGTCACGGAATAGGTGTCAAGGCAACAGCTCAAAACCATGGACAGCTTGTGTGTCCATGAAAACGGGACCCATAAACGGTTGGCAGGGCGGCCCCAGGCCGCGGGGCAGCCCCAGGCCGCGGGGCAGCCCCAGGCCGCGGGGCAGCCCGTTCCGCGCCGGCGGCCCCGCTCTCGGCCAACACGCAGCTCTCGCGCCGCGCTCGCACCGAGGCGGCGGCGGCTGCTGCGGCCAGCGCCGCGCCAGGGCAGCCCGCGCGAGGCACCGCGAGGCCGACCCGGCCGCAGAGCACGGCACCAAACCGGCCCCTGCCCCGAGGCGAGCCCCGCTGCACTAACGGTCCCGCTGCCTCCCCCTTCCAAGGGCTCCAACGGTCACCCCGCTTCCCGTCACGGGGACCCGACGCGGGGAGGGGGGGCACAGCCCGCTCCGCAGGGCGGTTGGGGGGGGAGGGGGCACCCCCCGCTTCCCGCCCGCGGCCGTTGGGCGCCGCGCCCCTCCCCCAGCCGCCGAGCCCCCGCCATCTCCTCTCGCGCACACCCGGAGCGGGGGGAACCCCCGGCGGGGCCGCCCA